GGGCTGGTCTTCTTGGTATGACCTGACACTTGGGTCGCGACTACATCCTCCATAATCTTAGACAAGCCCTGAGTTCTCGCGAGAGCCGCAAAATTGATCAACTGGTCTTTGATCGAGGAATGGAGAGGCAAGGGGGGTGGCCCGAACAAGATCAGTTTTTTGACATGTCCAGGATGGGCGAGGGCGTAATTGATGGCGATCAAGCACCCGTGAGAGTGGGCGATCAGAGTTGCAGGGGATGTGCCTGAATCCGCCTCAGCTAGACTGAAGACTCCCGAAAGATCTTGAGTAAGGGAATCGACGGTGATGGTTTCTAGAGGGTGTGTCGGTGTAAGGCCATGCCCTGCAAAATCATACACGTGTACCGAGGCGGAGTTCCCGAGTTCCAAAGAAGTTATCAACGGCAGCCAGTAGTCTTTGGTACCTCCGAGACCATGGACGAGAATGATGGGGTCTTTTCCAACACCAATTCGCTGGTACCCTGCTCCAAAGCGACCAATATTCCTGTTAAGGCCGAATTGGGCTTGCTTTGACTTCTCGCTATTGTCGAGGCGAAACAGATCCATCGATCGCTCTTTGATCTTCTGTTCAGTGGGATTCATCTGCGAATGATCGGCGACTCTGTTTCTCAGAGTACCAAGGCCGGCGATAGTGACGGCGAGTTCATCACCGGGTTTCAAGAAGACCGGAGGGGCTTTGCCAATGCCAACACCAGCAGGCTTCAACCATGTATCGTTAGTAACATTCAACCAGTACATCACAGGTAGACTGTAGTCCGATAGAAGGGACTCACGGTTCCCGTAGCGATGACATCGCCCGGCTGGAGGGTCTGACCCGCAGACAGCGTTCTGATAAGATGAGGAATGGAGAAGATTAGGTCTTTGGCTGTGGCATCTTGTCGGAGTTCTCCATTGACATGAGTCTGCAAACGCAAAGATCGCCCCCAGTCCGGTAAGTCCTCCTTTTGTACAGCACTAGGGCCCTGACCAAAGGGTATCAGCTTGTATAAACTTAGGTTGAGAGGTGGTCAGAATACATACCATTGGGCAGAAAGTATCTGCGGATTTGCCGATGTAGAACTGCTTGTGGTCTCTTTGCCGTTCCCTGGCAGTGACGTCGTTGATAATGGTATACCCCCATACGTAATTCCAAGCCTCATCTTCTTGGATTTGGTACCCTGGTTTACTGATGATCACGCCGATTTCGCCTTCATAATCAGCGCTTCCGGTGAATCCCTTGTGGATATGCAGTTCCTCTCCATTCGCTATGATTGAAGTGGCACGCTTCGTAAAAATTACAGGATGGCTCGGCAAGTCCACCTTATCAGAGCTATCGTAGCCCGAGCTGTTGAATTCCTTCGCATGCTCCATGTAGTTTTTGCCAACTGCGAGAATATCTCTCCCTGAGATAGGAGGCAGAAGCTTCACATCATGAACGTGTAAGACTGGACCAGCAGCTAAATATGTCTGTTCGCCCGCCACGATAACCTGATACAAGTTCTCAACAGCTTTCCCGGAGTTGAAGCTGAGGGGTTGAATGTTTTGCGATTCTGTGTCGAGATGTCCAATTCCAGGGCGATTAGCGCCTTGCTGTTGGAAAGCAACAAAGCTGATTGGGTGTTTGATGGTCTTCGCCATGGCTGTTGTTTCTGTCGTTCTAGAACTCTGTCAAAGTTTGTCCAAGAGTGCGAAGTAGCAACTCGGATTTGTCGCAATGCGGATGTTTTGCAACAAGATAAGGGCATAAGTCGATGATACCATTTCCCACGAATCTTGTCATGTCCTGTGACCCACCTCACAGCAACTCCAGCCCCACTGTTGAGGGGGGGTTGGAGAGTATTGTACAAGATGCCGCCATAAAGATTAGGGGAGTCCGATGAATGGACTTGACAGTTTTACTACCTCCATCAGTAATTCTTTGGATCTCAAATTTCGGCGTCGGCCCAGTGTTTCGGGATCCTTGTTTGTTACGAGGTGCATCAACTCTCAGACTTCGAGTCTAGATTCGAGTCTACGTAAGAACAAATGTCAAGTTTGTCTCCGTATTAGGGATTGGGTCTCTATCTCATGATCTAATCTTCTATTGTATTTTGTGAAGTCTTGGAAACTGACTTGGTATTTAACCTATAGTCTCTCCATGCCCTGATATAATTACTTAGAGGCTGAGCCTACAACTGGTCATGTACGGTGTAAGCAATCAGCACAAGGCCGAAGTGCAGACATGAGGTCAGTAACAGTTCTTGTTCCCGTCTTTCAGAATACTTGAGAGGGTAAGTTACTGTGTTGAGTTATCGGGATTGCAAGACCCATTTGCCAATTATTCGCCGCATTTTCATGTCTCATTGACGGCTTGTGTCGGTCTCGGTGTCTATGGTCGGCATCCAAAGTGGACTCCCGGCGTCTGAGTCGGTGTCTGGGATCGGTGTTCGCTGCAGTGACCTGTAAGTGCCCGATCGTCCGTTCGCTCTCCGTGACGGCCGATGACCTCGCGCTGCGCCGGACTTAAACAATGCAAGGTCCATGTGGTGGTGTGTTAACGCGGGGTCAACGAATCTTGATTCTCCTTGAGAGTAAGCACAATTTCGCTATTGATTTCGCTGCCAAACAAGTCGACGCTACTGGCTTTTGTCACCAAGCATCTTTCGCCGTAACCATGAAATGCTTATAAATCTAGAGTACTCGCCCACTTGAAACCCAGAGACATAACGAGGCATGTACTCCTGATCAGCTTCTCGACCTTTTGGGCTTGCGTTTCACGCAACGATTAGAGCCTTGATCCGCCAATAGCACCGACGCAATCATGGAACAGAACAATTCATTCGTTCTCAAAGGTGTCAGAATATTCACTGGACACGAAGTAATCAACAAGGGCTATGTGTACGTCGAGCATGGCATTATCACCCAAGTTGGTGCTGGTGACTTTCCTGGACATGCAAAGGACGGGTTGCCGATTATTTCACGGCCTGGTGATACGGCAATTCCTGGATTGATCGATGCTCATATTCATGCACTCGGCGGAGACATCAACAGTATCGAGCAGTCTCTGCGTTTTGGTGTCACTACGGTTTGCGATATGCACAACGAGCCAAGCGATAACGCCAAACTCAGGCAGGTGAGTTCGGGACGCACTTCCCCTAGGTAGGGACTATCGGGATGGTCTGACTTTACAATAGCTGGCCAGCGTCTTGGCGAACAAGTCGATCTACGCAGACTTCAAATGTGCTGGTCTGGGCGCCGTCATCGAAGGCGGATGGCCTATCCCGGTGATCAGAAGAGTCTTCGCTGATAACCCATGCGGAGATCACATCGTTGACCAGATCGTGTCGACCTGGCCCATCTTGCATAAGCCGGAGGATGCAGACCCATTTGTCCAGCAGCAAGTCGAAGAAAACGGAGCATCTTACATTAAGATGTTCCACGAGATTGGCGACACTCTCGGCATGGAACTTCCGCGCCCTCCGATGGATATCCAGCAAGCCGTCGTCGCCGCCGCGCACAAGTATGGTGTGACTACCACAGGCCACGCCTTTAGCTATGCTGGTGCCATGGACCTTCTCCGCGCCGGAGCCGACGGGTTGAGCCACATGTTCCTTGACAAGCCACCTAGCGATGACTACGTTCAGATCATGTTGAACAACAAAGCGCACTGCAATCCGACTCTTGGGCAGTGTGCTTCACAAACAGCAGAAGGCCAAGACTTCCAGAAATCATTCTTCGAGGACCCGTTCGCCCGAAAAATGCTCATCCACAAGACAGCCGGAGAGCCAATGGGTATGGCCGCGAAGCAGAAGCCCACTGCCTCTGTGCTGAATGCATATGCAAACACCAAGGCTTTATACGAAGCGGGTGTCCCTCTCGTTCTGGGAACTGATGCCGCTGGTGGAGGTGTTGGTCTACCTTATGGTCTTGGGATGCACATGGAGATGCGTGTACTCATCAAAGAGGTTGGCATGTCCCCCTTGGATGTCCTCAAGTCCGCTACATCTACCACTGCAGAGCGGTTGAAATTCTATGATCGTGGGCGGATCGAGAGCGGTAGAAAGGCAGATTTGGTATTGGTTGAGGGCGATGCCCTCAACGCGTTGTCTCTGAGCAACGGGAGGTGCCTTCCCATCAAGGCAGTGTGGAGAGATGGGGTACTCGCATCCAGCTTCGCTGTATGAAGGTCTCTGTCAGCTTTACACATCCAAGAGAAAGAGATCGGGTTCGTGGTCGTACTGGAGCCGGGAACCTACAAGTCATGTTCAGTATTGCAGGGGCTGTGAGGGACACAACAAGCAATACATACAAAATGCAAACTTGTATGATATTCCTCAGATTGGAAATTGAAGATTGACACTTGAGTATGGGCGTCGTGGGTATCTTGTCCCTTGGTGTGGAAATGGCAATAGCGGCTCATATCGCCCAGAGCCCGACTTTCGTCGTCGCAGGTTGAGTCAAGCCTTCAAATGAGAGACTAATGTGCTGTATTGAGCGAATTACAGATGCGCCAAGTCCACCCTATCGATAATTCTGGATTGATAGTTTATTTGAGAAGTCAGTGTCATGGGGTCCCTAAGGCGAGCGTAGTAACTAACAGGGCAAAGCTCTTGGTTGTCTACTGTGACACCATGAAAGTATATAGATGGACGCATTATGTAGAGAAACACAACAATATTGAACCTCTTGGCGTTGGCTTACGACTTTCTAAGCTTCCCTAACCCTAGTACAGTATCGACTTAGCTGACCGGGTATCAAAACGAACATTCCGGGGCCTTCAGTGTCCTGTGAAGGAAATCGTGCCACAAAATGATCAGCCACTCGACTTACTTAATCCAGATCTTTGTTGCTTTTTACTTTTGCTGTCCGCGCTTTTATCGCCGGTGACACTTATCTTATTCATTTCTTGCTCATTCTTCTGAAACATGACTCGAGAAATTTGGAAAGAGACAATCAGGAAACTCCTAGTGATAGGAAAGGAAACGGTGGTAGAGTGGGTAGTGGTAATAGGACAGGGTACTAAAAGGGTGCCACCAGGCGCCACAGGGGGCTGACGCGGTGGGCTCCATTTCGGCCTCCGCGGAAAGGGCTAGCCGTTCGCCAACGACTCATCGTGCCGACTTCACTCATATTCTACCCATCCTCCGGTAATCAACCCGATCCCATCAACACAAAGAGACGCTCATTTAGTCTGAGCTGTATATTGGATCCCCGGTTGCCGAGACAAGATCGTAGCAGAGCCGTCGCAGTACCACCCATACCAATGCCATGCGGGCAACTTGATCAGCGACGTGCTGGGCATCGCTGCGCGTCTTGTAAGAGGTTGCATGCAAAGGTTTGAGCCCCTTCTACAACTGTTGAAGCGAGCGAAACTAATTCTTGTCAGTGTAACGGTGGCCGTCCGTGTTTAAATTGCGTAGCTCGTGGCCTGAAGTGCGCCTCAACGGGACCATCAGCGGGCTTTCAGTTTGTTCAGCAGCAAGCCTCTTCAGTCCCTAGGGCGTTGGTACAAGACTCTTGGAAATACATCAGCACTTACTTCCAGTCGGTTGGATGTTTGACCCAAGCGTCCGTGATGCGAAGCGCCGATGTGACGGCACTCTCCCATCGAGATGAGAACGTCAGTCGAATGCTGTCAATCATGGGTGGTCTTTACGCCTGTCAAAACCCCCAAGTATTGCGCGTAAGCCACAAAGAAAGAAGGACACTCTTGGGTACATGGGTGAAACAAAAGGCTTTGATGGCGACGGAGTTGAAGAAGCCTGACCCATCGTCCTTCAGCTCAGTTTTGCTCAGTACCCTCCTTTTGGCAGTGATCGAGGTGCGTATCCAGGTCTCCTTTCACATGTTTGGTAATTATAGGCTAATAGTACAAAGCTAGTTCTTTGTGCCGAAGATGGCGCCTTTCAAAAATGGCTGCAAAGAATCTCGAGTTACATTGCACAACATCTGCAAGCAAAGAGTTACGCCAGTTTGACTACGTTTGAGAGAAGTTTGATCCGATTTTTCAATTTTCTCAACACGCTCTCCGCCATTGCCCTGAACGAAGAACCTTTGGATCGTCAGATGGACTTTGAACTTTCATCGTCACGTCCAGTCGCACCTAGGAGTATCTCAGACGAAGACAAGATAGACGATATGCTCTCATCCCTTAAGCAGTGGGCTAGACTACAGTCAAGGTAAGCTCTTTAACTTATCATCGTCACAAGATGAGCAAAAGCCTTGGTACAGAGGGACTCACTACCTTAGGATGGTCGAGTGGGCTCTCAAGTTGGAAAAGAGCACCATGACATTCCAACTTGAGAACGATAACTATCGGGAAGCCATAGATCTCAAGGTACAAGGCCTCGATATCATCTGCGCGGCATCGGTTCTTCAAGCTCGAGTCATCAGCGATCTCCTCCAACTGTCAGAAGAACCCGATAATCAGGTCTCTATCTGCATTACTCCTTACTATCATTGGACTCTCACTGGGCTGTCTCATCGCCTGTACCACGAAGCCTGGAAAACACTGAAGTGCGAGCTCCCGGTGTTGCCGGCCGAATCACTCCATCAGCAAGCACTAGTTACGCTTAGCTGCGTTGAGACGCTTGCCAGCCAATCAGGGTTTGATGTCGCACTGTACTTGCCTTTTGCCGACTTCATAGGACGAGAGATGGAAACGCCGACGGAGCAAACGCGTGTGCTTGCGTTCCTCGAAATTGTCAGATCTCGTGGCTTTGGACTGGCAAATGAGTACAGGAAAGGCTTGCTAGAGACCTGGGGAGCTGCCACGCCAGCTGAAATGTCTCAAAGCTGGTTGATATGTGATCCGAGCCGTGGAGGTCTCGAAACTTCGGGCAGATACTGACGACAATACGACATCTAGACCTCAAAGTGTCACAGAACTGAGCCTTGTACCCCTCAAAATATGGCCATATTGGGTCAACATGCAGTTAAAATAAGACTCGAAGCAGCCGGATCAGCATTGGACAGACTGCGAAATATGTGGGATTTGATGTCTCACAACCTCGGAAAGATGCCTACTGATTCTCACCAGCCCTCAATGGTTATTCATAGACGAGACTCCCTCATTCCACACGAAGGCCAGAGTGGAATGTCATTTCTCATCGCACTCGCCATGTTTCTCTCCTTCTGCGGCCGACGGAGCTCGAATTTATGGGTCTACGGACCCACCGGTGGTGTCTACCCGGAAAGAGCCCCACAGTTAGCTAGCGCCGCGAGATTTTGTCCCAAAATGGCAAGAATGACTAGGATGTCAAACGTCAGACTAAACCCATCACCGCTCTTTAGCGCAGGATATCCACGCGTTTCGGGGGGTTCGATATGAGTCTAATTCACTCTGGCTTTTCTACCGTATTAATATTCACCAGAAAATCTGTGTTAATGGTTGCTTAGGGGACTCTCTACCACGTTAACCGGGCGGAGAAGATGTTGGCCTGGTGTTCCAAACCCAGAACTTTTGTGCCCACGTCAGTGGTACGCCAAATGACACTTTTATTTTGTGGCAGATTTGACTGGAGCAAATCATGTCTAAGAGAGGTGTGCATAAGGTAGCTGTTGGCGAGATCCCAATGAAAACCAGCGGATTGGCGGCTAGATTAGATAGCTCAGGCCTTGTCAGGCCATGGCAAGTTGCGACTAGGCACATGTAGGAAGTGGGCCACGGCGGAATGCGTCTAAGCCACGTTCTGACGCGATGTGCGGACTCACTGCACCTGTGCGAGGCGGACTTGGTGTGTCGGACACCCTTTCTGCCCGATTCCTGCGGAACACCGGGGTGCTGGGTCATTGATGACTGAGTAGACTCTAGCTGCCGATTTTTTTCTAAATCCCGTCCCTTGGCATGAGGTGAGATTTATAAAACTTCCTACGCGCCGACTCGCCCCGGGATACGGAGCCGCCATCACCACCCGCAGTGCCCGACTCGTTTGCAATATTGTCATCAGCTTCACCCCGCCGGTGCACCATTCAGAATGGCTGACTTACCTGACGGCCTCATCGCTTTCGGACCTGAAGCCAACTGCACACTCGATCTTTGTCCGATAGAATGGAGCATTCTTCGTTACCAGCCTTCTGTTCCCGCTAGCGGCACCTTCATTGGCTTCTTCTCTTTAGCATTGGCTTTACACGCCATTCTGGGGTTCAAATGGAAAACTTGGGGGTTCGCAGCGAGCATGATCAGTGGTTGTGTTTTGGAAATCGTTGGCTACGTAGGGAGACTCTTCATCCACGACAACCCATTTGACTTTAATGGATTTCTCATGCAAATCAGTCAGTTTCTGCCCTCCTTAGGGGACTCTGCTTGAGTTGCCTGGTTCATGTAAATGATCTTAGAGCTAACCCCTTTTTCCAGTTTGCATCACAATAGCTCCGGTCTTCTTCTCTGCCGCCATTTACGTTACACTTTCTCAGACGTAAGAGCTTCCAGAATATTCGCTGCCTAAGCTTTGGATACTGAGTAGGCCTTCCTGCAGCATCAACTTCCTCGATCGATCGATTTCCCGATTTCCACCTCGCCTCTACTATTGGACATTCATCCCGGTTGACATTGTCTCCTTGATTCTTCAGGCTGTAGGAGGCGCGATGTCCTCCGTCAGCACGACGAAGGAGGCTGCGGACCGAGGCGTCAAGATTTCACTCGCTGGACTTGTGTTACAAGTTGTCTCGCTTGCGGTGTTCTGCGGACTGTTTGGAGACTACATGATCGCTTACACTCGATCAAAAACTCGTCCTTCGATGAGCAGGAGACTCGTGGTCTTCCTAGCTTTCCTGAGCCTTGGTACCATGTTTGTACTGCTGCGTTGCGTCTATCGAATCGTAGAGCTGCATGAGGGCTACTTCAGTCACTGGTTCCGAGACGAAACACTGTTCATCGCGTTAGAGTCAGCGTAAGTGCCCCTTTTCTATGTATGACAAGAATGAGTGTTGACATTTCCTAGCGTTATGGTTCTAGCCGTTTTTTCTTTGTTAGTCGGACACCCGGGACTTGTATTCAACAAGAAGGAGAGAGAAAGACTTGACGCAAACAATGCGCTTAATTTAGCGTCACGCGAGGGCGCTGGCAACAACGATAAACCCGAAAACAATGCGACCACAGATGGGAGCGACACTTCAGTCAAAGATCCGGCGCCAGCAGCAGCTAGAGAGAAGTCAGCCTTGTCCGCAAGCGTCTAGAAGGCAATGGGCCACAAAGTAGAAGTCATAGATGAGATAAAGGGATGACCAGTATTTGGGTAGAGAAGAGACATACAGGGTAGAACTAATTGTCTTGGGACCACTATGTACATTAATGGAAATTGCTTTAGTATATTGCATACACGTAGCACCATCTACGGCGCGTTCTTGAAAAGCTTGCCAAGCCACCGCTTTTTGGCTTTCCCCTCCACATGTCAACGTCGATGTATTAATTTTCTTGCAGCGCATCTACGGACGAGGGACAATCATCTGGATAGGGTCATGTGCCGAGCCTTGACGAAGATGATGATTCCTCGGGCTCTAAGTCTGATACCTAAACAAGCTCATTACGAGCCCAAACCTGGTACTATGGCTGAGGCTCACCGTTCCAATTGTCTTAAGCCTTGCTAACAAGCTGCGGACAATAACTTCAATTGAACATCTTGCGACAGGCTGGTATCATAGCTAGATATATCAAAAACCCGAACGTCCATTATCTCATAAGAACACGAGAGGGGAGGGAGACTGATGACGAATTTACACGGCTACTCGCCATCAGTGTAGAAGAGAAGTCTTTGTCTTGTCCTTACGAGCGGGAGAAGGCAGTATAGCTATGGACTTCACCTCGATCAGAAGTTAAGACTAAGAATTAGAGTGACGATGAAATCTCATTTAGTACATGTGTATGTTGGCAACGGTCTACTATGCGCTTACCAACAACTATTCCCATGACAAACCGGCAAGTGAACAGTGAGAGTTAAGCATTAGGAGTAATATCAGATGGAATCAAGTCGGTAGGTCTTGTATGTTCAAACACTTGACGGCTCACAGGCAACAATCGGGGCGTTTCGCGTCCCGGCGTCTGGTGGTCGATCTGGTGGTCGGTGAGGTGAATGCCGTCAGAGAAGTGAGCACCTGCCCACAATAGGTCACGCCAAAGACAGAGCTTCCTTCCCATCACTTACTATATTCACCCTTGCGGTCGACCCGACCTTCCTTTTACGTCACTGAGTCTTAAAACTCCATTGGCTTTTCTTTCTCTTTCCCGCTTTCGCTTTCCAGACAGAATCATGGTCGCGAATCGTGGTCGAAGTGAGAATGCCTTCGATTACAGACATTCCTTGCGAGCTGGTGGCTTCCATTCTACGAAGCCTGGACGATTTTGAGACTCTCACTTCATTTTTGCTCGCTTGCCGCCATATTTACACCTCCTTTCAGCAGATTCCTGGCACCGAGTTGGCCATTATTCGTCAGAGAATCGAGCCAGATCTACTCCCATATGCCGTCGCGTCTTTGGATGCGTCGAAACTACAGCCAAGCCCGGGCGATGAGAGTTCCTTCCGCAGCTTGCTCGACTTACTCTACGACGCCCCTTCGCAGCTGGTAGCTAGAACAGCTTCGATGCCTCCGGAACTCTTGCGAAGCATGTCGCGCAAGCACGACTGGGTGACTACCCTAGCACTGAGTTATGCGGCAGAAGCCAAAATCCACATCTCCTCTGACATCATAACATCATCAGAGGCCGTCGATCTGTCTCCTTCCGAGTATTTCCGCTTTTGTCGCGCTTTCTATCGCGTCGACTTATTCTACTTTCTCTTCGGCGCGGTTGGAAACTTCCACGCGCTTTCCGGAGTGGGAAACTTGCTTCTCGACAGACACCCGCCGTGGGAGAACGAGCAACTCGGCTGCGTACATGACTTCATCGAGACGAAATTTCTGGAAGGTAAGCTGTTTGGGTGTCAGGATCTGTTCTGATTTACTTACTGACACATATTTGATCAGCATCCATCAATGTCTTTGCCCAAAAAGCCCTCTTTGGCGAATATCAGACCAACTATCTCATGACCGGCCCAAATAACTTCATGATACAAATATGGGTTAGTTAACTTCGCCAATTAGGACGGAATGTGCTCCTAGTATGCAACCTGATTTCTGATTGGATGTAACATAGCTCTCTCACGGACTCGACTTCCTTCGTCGCTTGATGTCGGCAAATTCTCACGAGTCTAAGCGAGTCCTACTTGTATCGGCGATCAATGCCGGCTGGACTAGTCTCCCCGAGGCATTGCTGTGTATAATGGATTTTCATCCCCACAACAACACCAACTTGGAAGACTTGAGCACATCCGAGCTCGCAACGATAATTCCAGCCTACGAGAACATTTGCAATACGGACAAGGGGCCTTACGCGGGTTGGTATGCGGCTAACACCTCTGTGCCGCCACTCTTCTGGGTCTACAGACGCGAAAACAGGTGGCTGAGGAGACGTGCATACGTATTCTGGGATTGGGTCTACGTTCGAGAGCCTGACATTCTGAAGCTGTTTGCCACCGCCAGTGAAGAAGACGATTAGCCTTCTGCTGAAGCGCTGAAGGAGATGGAAGAATCCTTCAACCAGAGATACTTGACCTGGAAGGCGTGGGCCTTGACGTTTGGAGGAAACAAAACATTGATTGCTTTCGCTGGTCAGGCAAATAGCAGGATGCTGGTCAGCATGTCGCAGGTTCTCATGGGCTACTAATTACGTAGCACAGCTAGACATTGGCAAGACATGATTTATGAACATGATTCCCGAGAGATGGCCTCCCGTGTACAGCGCAGCTTCTGATTCAAGTTGGGCCGGAACATCAGTTTGAAACTATGATATTGAAGTGATATGTCGAAAATGACTGTGGCCAAGCAATGGAAACGTCGCATACGGTTGACTTTGGTTCAGAGAGGTTTATCCATCGGACGTGGGTCCGGATCCGAAACCCACCCAGAATGAGCTTAGTCATGCACCGGTCCTCGGTGAATTGACCCCAACGTTCACCGAGACGAGAAGCTCTCCAAAAAGCCCACGAGCTAAATGAAACAACGTCACCAGCTGGCCATTGTAGCCACATGTCTTCTCACACTAAACTCTCGCGGCTGAATCTGCGGCCATTGAGCTCAAGATGCAGCGCGCAAGCTACGCGACAGCAGAGACGCTCACATCATGACTTCAACCACTTTGTATGCCGGTCAGGTACGAGGCAGCTCACCCATCCCTCCTCGATTGTGCCAGAGCTGATAGGAAAGCCGCAGATGCCTCCGAAGCTACACTCCAATCGCCGAACAAATTCAAGTTAGCGGTAAAGGACAACATTGCGACCCAAGGGCTGCCGACAACATGCTCCTCCGCCATCCTTTCCTCCCACAAAAGCCCCTACGAGGCCACCGTCGTGCGCCAGCTCCGAGAACGAGGTGCTCAGGTCGTCGGGAAGACCAATATGGATGAATTTGGCATGGGATCACACTCTCTGAACTCGATCCACGGCTCCGTGCTAAATCCTCTGTCTGCGACGCCCACCTCTGCTGGCGGTAGCTCAGGAGGCAGCGCGGTTGCGGTTCAGACTGGTGAAGCGGACGTCGCGCTGGGGACGGATACGGGCGGTTCAATTCGCCTTCCTGCGGCGTACTGCGGCGTGGTCGGATACAAGCCTTCCTACGGCATGCTGTCACGGTTTGGGGTTGTTCCGTATGCGAACTCCTTGGATACCGTTGGTCTGCTCGCTAGGGATGTTGACGTTATCGAGGATTTGATGTTCAGCACGGCACTGGACGCGGAACACGACTCTCAGGACCCGACATCCTTGTCAAAGAGCTTCCGAAAGAAGCAGCAGAGTCGAGCGGTCACTGGTCGATCACGGCTTCGAATCGGCATTCCTCTAGAATACAATATTGAAGAATTGGACCCCAAGATCAAAGCAGCATGGTCTGACGCGGCAGACCTGTTGCAGAAATCCGGCATAGAGGTGGTTCCGGTATCATTACCGTCCACAAAGCACGCTCTATCAGCATACTACGTCATTGCGCCGGCAGAAGCATCTTCCAACCTCGCGAAATACGATGGCGTCCGCTACGGCACACGTGGCGACGAGAGCGACGGCGCTGGCGAGGTCCTCTACTCCAAGACTCGCGGTCTTGGCTTCGGCGAAGAAGTCAGACGCCGCATCCTCCTCGGCGCCTATAGCTTGAGCTCCGAGGCAATGGACAACTACTTTATCCAAGCCCAGCGGGTGCGCAAGCTCGTCCAGAGAGACTTTGACCGTGTCTTTAGGCTGGAGAATCCCCTCTACGACGAACAGCAGTTCGACTTGAGCGATATCAAGGATGAAGTCGAGCTCCAGGACAAGCTTGGCCCGTCGCAAGTAGACTTTTTGTTGTGTCCTACTGCGCCGACTTTTGCACCGCGTATTGAGGATATCAAGCAGCAGACACCGGTGCAAGTATACATGAATGATGTCTTTACGGTGCCGGCCAGTCTCGCTGGACTACCGGCCATCAGTATTCCTACCAAGATCAAGGTGGGAGCTGAAGAGGTGGACGGTAGTCGGAGTGTGGCGGGTCTCCAGCTAATCGGTCAGTACTGGGATGACAAGCGGTTGCTCAGCGTGGCCAAGAATCTCCTTCGCCAACTATCTGCTTGATCATGAGTCAACCGCCAGATGTCTGGGAAGCACTGTGTAAGAATACCCGTCGCCGTGTGAGAGGCGGCGCTCTGGAAAGGTGTACTGTACAGTAGAATACAAAATGGAATATACCCTGGGGGATCAGCCCACCCACCCTTTCATCCGATACCTCGACGCCACGAGAGAAGCCCCTATAGGTCTACTCACTTCCATTCTCGTCACCAGCACAGCAGGCGCCCTCTAGGTCGGGGGTCAGGTCAAACTGTGGCGTGGGTGCTGGAATGGTTAATGGTCACCAATTATTCACGCCAACCAGCCTACTCGACGACAGGCTTAGCGAGTACCCGAGTTCGAATCCCAGCATGAGCGCCAGAGATGTAGCCCCCAGTTCAGCACCGGGGGGGTGAACTCTTTTGTCTTTTGCATCTCTAAATGATTAGTCATTATTGTATCATACGTTGATGAGATAGAGATCCCTCGAGCACTAAAGTCTGTCTGCTTTATGAATTCAAACTATGCTTTTGTCTATTTTGTACTCTGCTCGGTAGGAGCAAGAGATTGGGTATCATTCTTCGCCATCGCCACATACTCAAGGTGACCGGTCTCTGCTTCTAGACCTCGATCTTGATCTGGACCTTTCCACATCCATCGGCTCCCCAGCACCGCTCCTATCCTCCGCCACCTCCCCTTCCGACTCGTCCGCTCCATTCGCTCTCGCATTTTCCTCCTCATTCTCTTCCTCGGCATCCAGGAGCTCGTCAATATCGCCCAATGGACTAATCCTCTCCTCGAGCTCGCCCAAATCCACCAAGTCAACCCTCTTGGGCAACTCCCTAAAACTCGTCGCGCACACCCTCGTCTTGGTCAACAAATCATCCACAAAGTCATCCATAAACGTCAAACTCGTCCCCGCCCTCCCCTTCCTCCTCAACTTCCTCCGATCCTCCAAAAACGGCTCCAGTAGCAGGTACACATCCTTGGCCTTCCTCGTCATGCGCACGTAGAAACACGCCAGCGCGCGCAGGTACTTGAACTTATCCCCGCCGAACCCCAGGTACGTCTCCAGCACCTCGTCCGACGGCGCGAGCTGCAGCAGCTTGAAGGCGAGGCACAGGAACGGCGTGGGCTTCTGCGTGACGCCCGAGGTGCCGCCTATAAACGTGACGTGCTCCACGACGCGGTCGACGATGTCGGCCTCGTTGACGGCGAAGCACTGCTCTTTGTAGAAGTAGGAGTCGATGATGCGCTCGCGGACGGCCTTTTCCATGATTGTGGCTGGGTTCTCACCGTTGGGGGCTAGGGAGGCCGAGGAGCCGCGTTCGTCGAGGAAGCGCCGCTCGTCGGCGTAGACGAGGTCGGGTTTGCTCATCTTTGCGATTTGTGTCTCTTTTTTTCGGGGGAAAGGGTAATACGGTGTCGTCGTCAAGGTTTAGGCGTATGGTTTTGCGAATTGATCGTGATGCGGAAGGTGTCGATGGAGATTAGGTTTGACTGGAATCGAAAAGTCGCGATTTGTCGAGGGTAGCTCTTCGGGTAGTGGGGTGGGTTTTGATGCGACGGGAGCTTTCGCGAGTGACGCAGGTTGGAAAAGTTGGGAGGTCGTTGCTGGATTGAAAGTCCGCTATCGATTGTTGCCGTGCGAACCAAGTAAACAGCCCACTTCCAAGTTCACGCTCACGCCGCGCACCTCTAACGACTGCGACGCTGGCCAAGGGTGAAAAGTCGGCGCCATCATCGAAGCTCTAAATCATCCTCAAATCATTCAAACAATCTATAAAAATCTACTTGAAATATTGAAGAATTCAAAAACAACCATATCTTCATCCCAAAATTCCACAGTTTGCTGCCATGGTGCTCCTCACCTCCTCCCAAGTCTCCGTACTGATCTCCTCAGCCATCGGTAACACCCGCCCTTCCCCCCGTTCCCGCATTCCAGTCCCGCACCCCCAGATCAAATAGAGAACAAACAGGCTAACCTCAGCGAAATGCGTTCTTGCGCGCGAGGCGGCAAGCCGCGTTTGCGTGCAAACGCATTTTCCGTAAATCCAACAGTTGTCTCATGTACCGCAGCCCTCTTTCTTAGTGGCTACGTAATCCAGCAGCGCACGCTGAGCCAGCTGCGCCAGGCCATCAAACCCGAGACGCGACCCTCTCCAAAGGCGTCGTACTACGTTCCCGAGCATCTCAAGGAGGCAGCAGCAGCAGGCAATGAGCAAAATGTACCGCTCTACGGGGGCGCGAATGGGAAGCAGGAGCAGATCATCATCGAAGTGAACCCAACGGTGCCCGAGAAGCAACAGCAGGAGCAGCCGCAGCAGCAATCAACGAAACAAAAGGCCGGACAAAAAGCAGCGGGATGGACATCCGACATGTGGCAAAAGATGATGGGGCCGTCGGAGAAGGAGGATAAGGGCGGAGTCAGTAGGGAGGACTTGGAGAAGATGGACGAAAGGGAGAGGAATATCAACGGATGGAACGTCAAGGACCAGGCGAACCCCGATCCCGAGGCGTCGAACCAGAAGCCCATCAGCCGGGCCGAAAGGCGGCGTTTGATCAAGGAAGAGCTGAGGCGGCTGTCGGAGAGCGAAGAGAGGGTGTACTACCAGCGACGATTGTGGTAGATGTGACGTTGGGATGGGATATCTACTGGACAGGGATTTCGGTTTCCATAAGTATACATATGGGAACTCTGGCGTTGTTGATTATTCTGGGAGATCGATTATGAGGGATGTTAACGAATTCGATATATATAGGTCGATCATGTATACTCATGGAGATAGGAGACGTCGGATTGGAGCAAACGATACTAAAAGATGTTGCTGGGCGCGACCAATGTGAGCTTCTATATTGATGTGCCGAGAGGACTACTCGAAATCCATATGCCAAACGATCGTTTTCGTCAATGCCAACCCCACCACGGCCCGCGAGCCGGATTCATGCCTTCGTCAGCGTTGTTGAATCATCATGTCTCTTCCAATGTACCCTGAACGCCAAACCCTAAAATAATGCGATTTCAAACGCAGCCAACACCTGTTCTTTTCCTTCATGCCGACGTAGCTTAAGCGTGGCGGTTGGCGGCATCTTCAAATGCCTCTCTCTGCATTCTCTCCAGCTCTTCGAGGGGAATTTGGCTGTTTTGGAACTTGTTTGCCTTCTTTTCACGGCCCTGTATAGGTTGTCAGTGATCAAACGTTTTTGTGTGTGTGGTTGTGTGTTGGGTGGCGCAAAGTCTCGACATACCTTTTGCACTTCTTTGTGCTCTGCAGCGGCCTCTAGCACGGCCGGAACGTAGTCTGCGAAGCCCAGTTGCTCGAGGGCTTTGGTGATGTGGTCGCACGCGATGGTCTTCTTTGCCTCCTTCTCTGAGATCTCGTTGGCTTCCGAGGAGATGAGGGTGATGAACTCAACGCAGCACTCAATAAGAAGGTCACGAGCCTCCTTGGCAAAGGCAACGCCAGCTGAGGGCGGCAGAATCTCGGTGACGATCTTTTGGACGGTGGCTGTTTGGCGCGTTAGCTTGAAATTGTCCGTCAAAGTGGGAGCAAGAGATGCACCACGAAAGCGAGCATCTCTTGGGGGTGGGGTCACTTACCCTTGGGCAAGGACAAGTCATCGTTGCCTAGTAAAGTCATGTCAGCATTTCAGGTTCAAGAATCAGGCTGAGCGAACACCGAAAGATACCCAGGCAATATATACGCCCGTGATTGATTCTCGCACTGAACGGCATGTTGGTTGTGAGGAAATGCAACAGACCACCGCATGATACAGACAAGGCTGCGTCTCATACATGGACTATCGGTAGGTTTGGGTGCTCTTGCAGAGAATGCGGAAGTCGCTTTGTAGGCCTGGTAGTGAAGACCAGGCAGGTGCAAGAGCGGACCAAAGAGAAAGCCTCATGAAGAACGCCTGAAGGTGAAAGGAAAGATCGATCTTCACTTACCCGCAATATCGTGGTCAGACATGGTTGTGGTATGATACGATAGCGTCGATGAAACTGGAAAAGTTGGCTAGATTGAGAAACGTGGTCGATTTTGTTTGCTTTTCAACAAGTATTAGGTTTTGGCCTTGGCAGAGATCAGAGACTGCAGGAAAGAGTCGTGATATTCTTGTGTCGACCGTTGACTTATACGGAAATTGGTAGTTGGTGGTGAAGAAGACGCGGTGGCGGGGTGGACATGCAAATTGATTAGGTAGGCTAATCGCCGACTTTGTAGGTCTGGCTGGCTCAGTCTCCGGCCGTGTGTTTGGTGGGGTCTTTTATGCTCCTTGGGATGCGGGACATCGAGTGCATTTGAACCCCCTGCGCACCTTGAGGAAGCAGGGGCCACTGAGCCACAGAGTGAAGGCTCAGTCACTGCCTGGGCCCGCCTTGGTGGGGCGTACTTTCCACACCTCAGTCAAATTCCATTCAGAGACGGGACAGCGGTGCGCCGGCGAAAGATACCTCCGTGGCTCCGCGTTGCACGGACCAACAGACCCCAATCACTCCAAATTTTTTCTTAGCCTTAAAAGACGAGATATTCTGCGATGGTTCAGCCTCTTCTTCTTTTTCGCATCAGCAAACAGCAGAGCTCAGAAAACAGCCGTGCGTTCTTATTTCAGAGCCGCCGGCGGCTCTGCTGATTGCTTGGATTGAACTTGGTAGGTCTTTCCCCTTCCCTCTTTTCCTCCCTCCCCCCGATATGATGAGTCTTGTTGTCGCCCCAAACTTACGAGGAATAACTCCCCTCATAGTGGTGAATGACCTTCCTGCCAAACGGAAACGCCTGATCTGTCACCATCAATCATTCTTTTTTCTGCAGTTCTATCCTTGAGATCGCATTGCTAACAATGATTTCAGGAAGCGCAAGCGCTTACTGCCAATTCAATCGATTCACTGCTATACCCGACTGCGCCAGCAACGATGGACAGCTCTAGATACTGAACAGACGATTCACACTAGTTGGCTTGTGACTTTGGGTGCCAGACCATGTCTGCTATTGTGTCGGATATTGCGGGCTTTGCTCACCATATCACGCCCACAGATCCCCAGTTCAAGGTAAGCCGCACACGCGAGAAGTTTTCCTTCAATTTCGCCTGCAAAGGCTTGCCAGTGATGATGAAACATATTCCATGCTAATCCTGAATAAACAATGTGGAATAACATATGAGCTTTTCATCTTTCATCTGAGGCATCTTGTTACCAATGTTTTTCTATATACACTTCTATGGCAAAACAATTGCTAACAATGAACTTCTAGTGAACTTCTCTACTCCGCATCATGGTACGCTGAAAGCTCTCCGGCTTGCCACTTGAAGTACTTGCCCGAAAGGTCGTGCTGAGGCTTGACGACGAACCGCGCCATAACGCTGCCGGGCTGCTCGGGCTTGAACAGCTCTCCTTTGTCGAAAGCAGACACGAAAGAGGTGTGGTCCTTGTCGGCCATGTGCCCGGCTCCTGTGTCGCGGATGACCTTTTGCATGGCTGTGTCAACGCGGCCTGGGCTCATGGCGATGCTGGTGATGTCGGCTTCCTCTACTGCCAAGTGTGCAGAGAGGTGGTTCATGGCGGCCTTGGAAGTACCGTAGGCTCCCCACGCGGTGTATGCGCCAGTGGCTGCGCCGGATGACACCCAGAGGACGCAGCCCTTGGACTTGCGCAGCTCGGACAGAGATGATTGGACCTTAAGATTATCAGGTCAGAGAGAGTAGATAGTAGAACAATGAATCAAAGTTTTCACTCACCAATGCGAGCCCACTAAACACGTTGATGTCGTATGCTTTTTTCCATTCCTCGATTGAAGAGTCTGCTATGCGGGTGACGGGCTCCAGGACGCCGTGATTGATGACAAGGCCATCAATCTTGCCAAAGGCCTTGACTGCCGCCTCGGCGATCTTTGGGATTGTCTGCATTCATTGTCAATTTCCAATCTTTATCGGAGCCATGTCTCAGTCTTACCTTGAGATCCCCTAAGTCTCCAGCAACATACTCGACCTGCCCGGGATGAGCAGCCTTCAGAGCCTCCAACTGATCCTTGGACCTCGCCGCCAAGACAACCTTGTGGGATTCCTTGATGAGGTGCTGGGCAATGGCAAGACCGATGCCTCGGCTGGCTCCGGTCACGATAATCACCTTGGAGGCCATGTTGTGCTATGGTTTGCTTTGCGACAGACAAGTAAAGTTCGGTGGCTGTTCCCAACTTTATTTCCGACTTATGGTCTAGGGAAGGGATGCAGCAAGAGGGACAAGTAGAAAAAGACTCTGCAGCGTGAAGATTGACTGGGAGGCTTGCGCCATTCCGACGTAGCGGAGCGCTCTTGCTGTTTCTGCACTTGTGCCGTGGAGCGGGGCGTGGAGCATTGAGTGTCCTTATCTTATCAGTTTGGCGGGGTTGAGAGTTCCGGTCTGATTGAGCACGAGCTCCCATGACATAACGTCACTGTTCGAGATTCGATCTTCGAGCTTTAAGCTTCCTTTCAACAGTTCACAAGGCCTTGTCTCTCTATGATATTGTGACGATGAGCTCAACAGTAATACTTGGCTCTGGCATCATCGGCCTATCAATCGCATTTTACCTAGCAGACCATCAACCAGGCTCGACAATCCACCTCGTTGACCCTTCACCAGAGCTCTTCGCCTCAGCTTCAGGTTATGCAGGCGGCTTCCTCGCAAGAGACTGGTTTTCACTCGCTTCAGCCTCCCTCGGAGCGCTGAGCTTTGACGAGCACAAGAAGCTCGCTGAGGAGCATGATGGTAGAGAGAAATGGGGATGGTCCACGACCACCACATTTAGTCACGCAGCAGCACCTGTAAAGAAGGGCAAGAAAGATGCCAGCTGGTTACAGGACGGCGGTAGCAGAGCAGAGGTCGCCGAAGCCGTCGAGAGTCCAAGTGATGGGCCGCCATGGCTGAGGAGGCAGCATGGCGATGACGTGCAGAACATCGGGGATCCAGAAACCACGGGCCAAGTGTGCGTCTCCAGTCCAGCTTCATGCACTTATGCACCCATATGATGTACACACCCTTTGTATCTCTCTCTGTACCAATCCACTGCAAAATGCTGGCTGAGCATGAAATCTAACCTCAATCACCAGGGATCCCCTCCGCCTATGCCACTTTCTCCTCGAAGAGTGCAAATCTGCCGGCGTTCACATCCACCACCCAGCCACAGTCCTCTCCATCCACACCGACCTCCGCGACGAGCTCTCATCGGTCAGGATAGGAGACACGACATCCTCCACAGAGACAGACGTCCCCTGTACCCGCCTCGTCATCGCCGCCGGCGCCTGGTCGTCTCGCGTCTTCTCCCAGCTGTTCCCCGGCGCATCACTACAGGTGCCCATCTCCAGCCTCGCGGGGCACTCGCTCGTCGTGAAGCCAAAGCCTGGCACCTCGGAATCGAGTTCTGGGAACCACAAGGCTACGACAGCTTGCCACGCCATCTTCAGTACCGACGGCGCCGGCTTCTCGCCGGAGCTATTCTCGCGGATCGGAGGCAACGTCTACATTGCCGGCCTGAACTCGCCATCCACCCGTCTTCCGCCTCTGCCAGGCCAAGCACCCATCTCCGCCGAAGCCATCGCCAAGCTCAAGAGCACAGCGGCGCGCATCATCTCATATAGCAACGACAGCGGATCGGACCTGGAAGTCATCCGAGAAGGTCTCTGTTTCCGTCCGGTAACGGATTCGGGCGCTCCCATCCTAACCCGGATCCCGGACGACCAGCTCGGGGGCGTCGCGACGCGCACCGGGGCCGAGGGCGGTGTATTCCTCGCGGCGGGGCATGGGCCTTGGGGAATCAGTCTGAGTCTCGGGACGGGCAAGGTGATGGCGGAGCTCATGCAAGGGCGGAAGCTGAGCGCCGATATATCAAGGCTTGGCCTGACGTGAGGATAGCAAGCCTTGTGCCCAGCTAACCCGCTTGGTTTAGCTGTTCATGCAGAACCTATCATGGTTTCGATGATGATGACCAGGCGGCAATACCGTCTCTTAGGTGGAAAAGGAGGCTCCTCCGTGATTTCCTTGGAAATGCTTCTGCCCAAGGTCCCGTGAACGTAATGGCTCCCAGTCCTAAACCAGATCGATGAGGCGACGCCGATATCACGATCAGCGCCTACATCCACATCGCCACTCGTGACTCTTGGAAAGCCCACACACCCACGGTAGCGGCCTTCATAACGGCGCGGGTGCTATGACAATGCCCTAGTAGCAGCCGCCCGTCGCGCTTGCGTCGTGAGGGTGTGTAGGTGTGCAAAACACCGACCAGTCTCCATCGCGGGAGGGCACTTGCTCCTCAGAAGCCGAAACGCCTGGGGGGAGTAACTTGTGAGGAACAGGCTGGCGCGGCTAGATCGGCTCTTTTGATGTATGTCAAGAGCTGGGCAGAAAGAAAAAAAAAACACATTACAATTTGCCAAGTTCCGTCTTAACGAGGCGGACGCGGAGGCGGACGCGACGGGGCGGTGTTTGTTGAATCTGTCTCCCGTCGGCAGTCGCAAATGGGACAGATGCCATATTTTCTGCCCATCGTATCCTTCGTTTCTTCTCGTAAAACACGGCAGAAAACTCTCTCTTCGCCCTGCCAAAATTTTTGCCCAGAAATAGCCGTCCATGGTTGGATTCAAGTCTACCTTATGGAGTAGGTCATACACTAAGAGCACGAGGATATCCACTGCGTGAACTAGTAAGGAGGCGGGAGAAGAAAATATCATGGGGTCACTGACCAGAACGTGATCCCTCCCGAGGTGGTCGTTATGGGGATCATGGGATGAACAGTGAAAAAGAGGTCATCACGGGCCACGCGCCAGGGCTGACGAAGGTGGACTGTGAAAGAATGAACTGCATTCATAGGCCATAGGCATACGGATACCAAGAGAGAAATCTCTTCACCGAAAGGCACACGGATGAATAAAAAAATGTAGCTTAATTTCTGGAGACCTTTGGTTAGGTCGGACATTGCGATCCCTGGGCAACGGAGCGCATTTTTGTGGAATTTTGCGCCGCTCTCCGCGGCAGTTCCGTTTTGTATCCTCTCCGTGCCTCCCAAGGACCAATTGTTTGGGCAACCCAAGCTGCTGCTAACATAGTCCGTGGAGCGGATTTAGAGGCTCCTCAACGGTTCCATCATAACTCCGTATTCCCATCTTCTTCCCACAGTTACTGTCACGATGTGTCATCCCTTGTTCCTGGATTCTGGACCCAATGACCGGTTCATTCCCCCTGTTCTAGCAGTCAGGTACACGTGCCGGAGGAGTGACGAATTCACATCAGACGAAGCAAGCTGACTGCATCGGTGAAAACCGATAGTTCGGTTCTGCTAATAACCACCACCACCCCCAGGGCCCAATCTCTCATCATTGTCCCAATTCGTGTCCCCTGTCAATGTGCTTTCCCGGGGCAACAAGCCTCATTCTGCAATTGAGGCCATGGGCTATTATAGGCCTCCCTTGCAGTATTTCGGGAGCTTTCCTTCCATGTCCCTGGGAGCATGTCCGAGAGAAAGAACGAAAGCCATTGGTTTTTCTTTTTGAGGCTCCGTTGTGTGTCGCATCCGCGAGACTCTCTAATTTGCCACAGTTCAAGCAAGGGCGCGCAAATCAGACTGCACGGGGCCACGGGTACCTGCATGTCTGGTAACTCAGCCTCATATGCATGCCTGCCTACGTAGGTAGGATAGGTATCTGTCTCATCTCCTTTTCTTCGGGTGTGCTATATCTCTACACTAGAATAGTATTATGACCTATCCTCCACTCCGTACCGGGCAGTCACTGTCAATTCCAAGGTTTTTGGCCTCGACACGTCGCCCACCACAATACAGCAATCATGATGGTGTTCATCTCAACAATACCCGCAAGTACCACCAGCAGCCTAAGAAACCCCAACGTCGGCACGGCAGTTATGTGCCGCGTGAAATGTGATGCGTCAGCAACGGTTCCCGGGCACGGCCACCCTCGTTCTCTGGAAGCTGTCACGACTCATGAACATCGTCCGCTTGAAGTTTCCACGCGATGTCATCCCCCCATCACACTACACTACTATCGTCCGGTGTGCATTTGTTCGAAGTGATTAGTGCACCGTACCCATCAGCCCGAGCGGGGGATGAAGTCAGTCATCCACACTGGAGCTTGTCAGCTAATGTTGGTTTCCAAGGCTCTGGTAGCTACCCATATCCAATGATCAATTGGGACCCAGAGGATGAAGATCACCGCCCACCCACACATTCACACACACACACACACACACACACCGCTACGAAAAACGGTCCACGAGAGCCAAGTCTAGTCATGCACGACTCATCATGCAGAACTAGTATCGCAAGTACCTCTCAAGTCACGAAATCCTCACGATAGTCGATGGAACCAACCCCGCTAGGCGTGAACCACTCCAACAACACCAGCTGAAGAACCGTGAGAAATCCACCACACGGGAAAACAACCGTGCCCCTGACCCCCCCCCCCCCCCCTTCCGAATCGATTGGCTACCTCCCACGAGATCTCGACACCGAATGCACCTTTCTGACAAGCGCAAACGGTCTTCCGGATCCGAACATATATTCTGTACGGATACGGAGTAGGCGGGTGCCTCGGCATTGCGGGTGCCTAGGCTAGCGGCGACCTACCATCACCGTACTATCGATCACGAGATAGGTGTGTATGTCTCACCGTCTCACACGGACGAGATCTCCATGTTCAATCCCGAGGAGGCTTACACTTTTCAAAGACCGCAAAAGCCCGTCTTGCCGGGAGTTACGGTCGTAAAGTCTGTAGCTTGCTTTCATAAGCCTACCTACCTTATTTGGCATCCCGACACACCCTCGTGATGAAGTTTAATCCCGGGAGCTTTGACCCTTTCTCAACCTTTGAAGAAACAATTTTGAGTTCAGCGCGACAGGGGCGTAAATTGTTTTCCGGGTTTGCCCAAAGAAACTCGAAAGGGCTTCGAATTTGCTACCGTGCCATGCCAAGACGTCTGGTTTCCACAAGCAGTGAGCTGTCGAATCCGAAAAGTTCATTAAGCACGATTAGGCTTCGGCACCAGGTGGTATCGTCGGAGGAGGAGCTGGGAGCTGTTTGTCCGCGCCGCCGCCGCCGCCGCCGTCGTCAGCACAGCGGGGGGTGCCTGTCTCTGTATTTAAGCTTCTGTGCCTGTCAGGCACAGCCATCCCAGCGCTTCCGCAGCGTCGCATTCAAGAGCCACAGCCATGTGGGTGGTGAGAGAAAGACGGGCAAACTCGCAAAAACCGAAATGCGAGCACGAGGTGCAGAGTGAGTGAGTGAGAGCAGTGCTGCTGCGCCACGAGGTTTTTTTGAATGTCCACGTGGAAACGTTCGATGGCATCCTGCCCCCAACCTTCGCCGGAAACGAAGAACAAGAATACCCCACTCGCAAAGATACCATGGAGAAAGAGAAAGTCTAGACTAGCAAGAAAGGGGATTCGTAATCATCACCTGCTCCCGGTGAAGTTTGAATACATGCTCAGTTACACAACACGGCGAGAGCGAAACCTGCGAAGCTGAAGGTGTACGCGGTGGGTTGGGCAATTGCCCAATCAGAGACCAGAAGTCCTAAATCCGTCAGAAGCTCCGGCCTTGGCCGGCCCATGTTTTTCTTTGTCTACGAAAAAGATCACCACTTCCCCTCCGGTGGGAGACTTCGGTCAGTCGGTGGGAAAGGCTCGGCTCATGTCCGTCTCTCTCTCTCCCCCAAGAGCGGGCGCCGGGCGGGTAGGCTCACGGGACACGTTGATTGGTAAAGACTCGAGACTCGAGGGAGAAGCCCGTAGACGGTATGTAGAACAAGAGATTCGGGCCTACTGGGGGGGTGTTGGGCCCAGGAACAACCTTCGGGACTAGCTGTTCGTCCGTCTCCCGTGAAATCATTGTTTGCGGATAGCCTAGCAGCAGAGAGCGCTGAGTCTCCCGTGCGTAAAGGAGAAACTTTTTGCAAAGGGTTACACTCGCAAGTCCCCGTCGGTGAGGGAAAGGCCCACGACGGGCAAAACATGTACGGATACCGTAAGGTCGCATCCTCGAATTTTACACGCCCGAGCCGCCGTGGGTTCCGTGTTGCCACCAAAGTTCGGTCGGATCCGGGGCTTGGGGCTTTCTTCAAAATTCCCAAAGGGCGGCCTTACGGGCTTCAGGACAAAAGCCTAAATTGGCTGTTTCGGTACCTTGCAGCAGCAAGCGGCACGGCAAGGAATGACGCGGAAACATAATTCTGTCATTTTGCGGATAGGGTCGTCGCAAGGGTTGATGGGACGATTTAGAGATGCCCAACCGGTTACCCGTACCTTTGAGCCAGGGGTTGAATGGGAAAAAAGAGTTTACTGACTACGTTTCCCGTCTCGGCGGAACCAGGTCAGTCAGGTGCCCAATTGTTCGAATCCATTCTTCCATCATTCTTTTTCGTAGTTCTTACCTACGGGCAACCAGGGGATGGTGCTTGGCATTGACTCGGCATGAGACGAAAAGATGATCGTCAGGACAAGGTATGGCAGTTGGGAACATTGGGCACCGTGACCTTGGTGATGAAGTCAGAAACATGAAATGCATTGCATCAGTGTTTGCAACGGGTATCCATCTACTCTCATGTAAGGCCCTTTTTTACTTCCAAGGCAAAAGTTGCCCGATCGTGGCATCACTGCTTCACATTATCGATCATCGGCACCAGAGAATTGTGTGCGTGATGTTGTGAACCAGAAAGAACAGAGCCTGGCAAGCATTAAAAATATGCCAGGTTTTTTTCCTTTCGTGAATAAAATTACAATATGAAGATGATGCTATATCGGGGCGTGTGTCGTGGTTTTTTGGACCAGCCCGCCTAAACCCAGTTCACACCCCCATCTCCCGTGTTCCCTCCCCTTCAGGCTCGGTGTGCTGCCGTAGTAGGCAGGTTTCCCACCCTTGCTTGCCTGGTTGACAGTTCGCCTGTGCGTGCGCGTGCGTAGAAAAAAAAAAGGATCCCCTTTTTTTGTGTATTCCCCAAAAACGATGAACCGCGTCCCGAAAAATGACGTCAACCTGAATGCCCCCATGCCCCCATGCCCCCCTTCCGTGCACCTCCAAGTGCCGTAGTCTTACAGAAGAAAATTGGTGAGAGGGATTCAATCTGAATAGCCCAAAATATGAGAGAAAAAAAGGGATATCAGATAAGAAGTGAGACGTAAATCAAGAGGCTCGCTGGGGTAAAAGGCAGAAAAGAGACACTGAATGACAATAAAGCAAGAAAAGATGCGCCCGCTGGTCGTGAAAGCCGTTAAAGCCGCCCTCTGCGGAGGTGTCTCCCGCCGTTTTTGCTGCCCAAGACAAGGTGATAGGAAATGTTGGAAGAGTGAATGATGTTGATCAAGTATTCGATGATGAGTTTCGATGAGATGTTGTAAGAGAAAGTGATGAAGTTAAGTAGATGGATGTTCCTTAGAACAATGTGTTGGAAGTTCGGGCGCTTTCTTGCTCAAAGACAATGCCGCGCCTCTTCCAGCCGCCGCGCTTGATAAAGTCCTCGACGCTATCGAGGGACTTCATTGCCGGTCGCCGCACAGTCGAAGGCGAGCTGCGCTTGATGGAAAAGTTCTGCCATTGCGATTCCCTCACGGGCCTCTCCTCGTCGACAAAGCTGCCGTCCTCGGAGGAGTCCTCCTCCTCCTCATCATCGTTATGCTGAGATGCCAGGGTGTTAATGGTGGACTCGGACCAGTGGGAGCGCGGCAGCTGCGGTCTCGTTGAGGCGATGTGCTGCTGGACCTTGAAGAGGAAGTAGTCGTCGCCCTCGGCGGCATGTTCCCGGGACCTCTCCTGCTGCTGGATCGGCGTCCGCGGCGAGTCGACGGGCGGTGCGGGCATGTCGGGAATGGCGGCGGCGAAGGAAGCCTTTGCCTTGTCTTCGGCGGCTGCGGCGGCCTCTTGGCTGGAGAAGTACGAGTTGATGACCTCGTCCTCGATGGACTGGGAGTTGTGGATAAAGGGCCGCTCATAGAGTCTTGGTGGTGCGTGGAAGGTCGGGTGTAGTGAGAGAGGGTCAAAGTCGAGGACTCTTGTGTGGCGCATGGTTGCTGTTGAGCGGGTTGATTGTGTTGATGAGGAGTCGCTGCTGGAGACTGAGTTGGTGAGGGAGGGCTTGCGGGTGTGGAGAGCCTCTGAGTGACGGGCTCCCTTATTGAATAATGGTGAAGGCATCGTGATAATGTATATGTGTGTGTGAGAGACAAGTATAAGTCCTTCGAGATAGTGACCAGCCAGTCGATGTAGGCCTCTTGTGGTGATCGATATATATAGCTGTTGGTTTGTGTTCCAATCCTCGTTGTTCCTATGTTTTCTCCCTTATAATCCGGGCTGTCGGTATTTGATATGCCGGGAGATGAAGTACGGTGGGAGAAGGAAGCTCGCCAGAGAAAGAAGAAAGGTGAAATGAGGCTGGAGGGAAGGATGTTGTAGATATGATATGTTACCACGAGAGAAACTTTATTCTACCACACGGGTATGTAATGGATAGTCTTCAAGGAGTGTGGTTGTTTAATGATGACAAGGATGTCGAGTGGTTGATGGGAGATCCGGGACAGGGCACTTCGCAGCTTGGGAAACGAAAGCGGGCATTGGGTCTTATTATAAAACTTCATCATCCATGACGGCCGAAACCAGGATTTTCATGGGGAACCACATCTGCCTGCCAAGCGTGGGGATGAGCAAATCGGTAAGCAGGCACGACAGGCAGGCAAGCAAAAACCACTACCTACCGCACACCATGGTGACCACACCCCCAAGCGGGAAAAGCGAGCGGACGCGAGGATGGGTACGCTATGCTGCAGAGAGAGACAAGACAGGTACACGTACGCCGCACACCGCACAAGTGGACTGGGCACAGCACGCCGCGGAGACCAAGGTCCCTGACGATCGAGGCTGAAAAGAGGATAGCCTACACAGACGTGAACGGAGCAGGGGTGGGAGGAGGAGAGGAACGAGGAACGAGGAAGTAGGACTCTCGCGCTAGTGAGTTGAGCCACTAGCCTTTTGCTAGGGTGGTGGGGGGGAGGAAAGGGTTCTTGAGGAATGGAAGAGACGGTGCCTTGCAGGTCCCGCATGTCGAAGAGGAATTTTGGGATGGATGGATGACGGGAGCATTCAGTGAGTGGGAGGGGTTCAACTTGAGAGGAAGAGGCTAAGAGGATCAGGCGCATGCCACGCCGATAGATAATGGAGGGTGGTATACGTATCCGAGGTGCGTGTGTGAAGATTGTATATGCTGCCCAGAGAGACCGGACACACGGTAACTCCAGCTGCAGAGACGGAACCAACGGAGAGTGTGAGAGAGAGATGCTACCCAGAGAGAGGGAGAAAGAGATCGAGAGATCTCGCGAGAATGGACGCCGCCCGTCCCGGCCGGCGTGAATGTCTATTGCTCACCGCCGTGGACGCGAGTCGAATCCCAAGGACAAGGCTGCGCTTGCGCGGCGCTACCTGTTCCCTTCCCTAGTTTTGTTGCTCAGACCTTTACCGAATTGTCGTATCGCCAAAGGCATTACATTAGCTACACCCAAGAGAAAGCGAAACTGGACAGAACAAGAAAGGAAGTCGTCATTCCAATTCCAACTCGTCGGCGGTCAGATGTGCCGTCTGAAATCATGCTGCGGATGGTCGTGCGTGGCCCTTCTTCCCCTCCGGGAGGAACAGCAACGAAGGAAAGAATGCCGAATGTGTGTATCTTAGATCCGAATTGTGCTGGACGGGAGACGAGGCGAGACTAGCGTTCCTAAAACGGGGTGAATGTTTTTGTGGTTGTTTGGTGGTTTCTTCGTGGATTTGGAAGACATTGTAATTGCCCACCTCGAAAAAACGAAGCACACGATGGAGCAAATCACCAAATTTAGGTCACGGCCAAAAAGAGAGTTCCGGGGACGGGGACGGAAACGAAAGAGAAGAAAGAAGAGAATTGACCAGGCTGACAGCCGATTGAGGAAGATGAACAGGGGACAGGGGGGCAAGCAAGGCGGTGTTGGTCAGCCTGTGACTCCTGTGAGCCCTTGGGTAGCTGCTTTTCCAGGTTCACCTGGTCAAGAAACTCTCTTCTTGACTTCTCTCGGCCCTGGAAGCCTGAAGGTAAACCTGGAAAGTCCTGTAGGCATGTATCGACTGCTCGCTTCTTTCTGGTTCCCCAAGTTCAGTCTCAAGGCCATGATGAATGACGATACGTACCAAAGTATCCGGAAGGGCGGGCACGTCCCACGATCTCTCCAGAGCATTACTAACGCAACGAAAGGGCACCTTTTACAGCAGGTGGCCGTGGATCTCAGGCGGATCAGCGGAGGGCACGCTCCCAAACGGGCGCTGACGGCGACGTTACGATACGTCATCCGTTCATCTCTTCCGTCTAAACGCTACCTAATGGAAGCATAACGAATTTCATCAACATCAACGCCGTCTGATCTTTTTCCACGCTCGTTCTACCGGTTGATCTTCCTCTTGCGTGTTTTCTATGGCTTGTCAGGGCTTTCTAATCGAATGCAAGCCAAAAGGTGATCCCAAAGGATACGCTACGGCTTCAGATACGTTCCACAGGCGCGAGGCCGTGTGTTTCATATCTCTTGCAATTGCAATCTTCGATGCTGATCGCGATAATGTCTCTCCCGGCGAACCAGTAAACTTTGAATGGTGTGGCCAAGGGCAACCCGTCTGACAGTCAGGTACTCGAAAAGAAAGAGCTGGGGCACTCTTTTTTTTTTTTCTTGATCCCGCTTGCGTACGTACTTTGTAAGTATATTCTCCGAATGAATGCACAGCAACTGCTCTCTTCTTGTTTCGCGGTCCCGGTCCTCCCCGGATCGTGATGTCTTGCGCTTTACACGTACGACCACAACATCAATGTCGTGAACACCCGATTTTTGATCCCGTCCCTGCCGGAGAGGCATGCAGCCACGTAGCCAATGACCCGTCGCCATCCAACTCTGATATCTCGAAGGCGGCCCTGGACGCACACCTACACCGGCGGGAGGGGAAGGAGGTGGGGGTGTGTATGTGCATGTGTGGCGTTGCCTCTCCAGCTCCTCTGCAACTATAACCCCATTCTCAAACAGTCATACAAGCACGACAAGGAAGTGGGATGAAGCCTGAAGAGGGCCCTGTCAGCCAACAAGAAGCTGATTCCGAAAGAGACGAATTGACAGCCAATCAGCCGGTGAAGATCACCGATCAAGTGGTTCCTGGTCGTTGCTGGTGTGGCTGATCAGCAGTGCAGGCGCTCCTGCGATGACCACTGATCGCCTTGGAACACTCCTTGATTTTTTGCCCACCGCTTCGAATCCCAGTTACGCATTTGTGCTTGAGTTGCTTGATCCTGGAATGGGTTTTTTTGCAACTTGTTCTGCGGAGTCTTTCTACGTGATGCCCTCGCTTCCATCCCGCATCGTGCATCGGGGGACCCTTTTTTGCCTATCTTTGCCCCATCGCCAATGCTATGCCATGCGGTTACGGATGCCCATCAACGGCCGTGAGTTTCCCCCTTCAGAAGAGATTCAGAGAAACGCGATGTCGGACCGAGACAGGGGCACCACCATCATCCGTCTTCTCAACACCCATTCAACTCACCACCTTCTACATTGCTCTCTCCCTTGCCTCGGAAAGACAGACGCTGCTGACGAACCCGATACCGTGACCGTTCAGCAGGACACGCCTGATCTGATCCTGATCTAAACCCCCCCTCCCCCTTCCCCCCAAACGTCGACGATCCCACCTAAGCCATGCCCAAAGAGTGCAAACCGCTGCAAAACGCTGCCGCCTAGCGTGAACGGAAGTGGGAAAAGGGAGGGAGGCACTGGGAACTCGAGGAGAGGATGGGAAAAGGACGACAAGCCACTGCCGCAGCTGCTGAGTGGCTGACGAACCTCGAGATGTTTTTTTAAGTGCGATGGGCATCCGTCTGAGCCTCTTTAGGATTGGCGCGCGGCGGATGGCAAAAAGGACACACACACACCACACACACTCCTCTTGGTAGTACATCCGCTATACAGCGGAAGCGAATGCAAGTTTTCTGGTCTGATGTGATGGTACCTGAGATGGAGCTTCAACAGACTAAGCCGCGAACGGTCGGCCATCTTCATCGTGTTCCTGCAGCTAAAGGCAAACGGTGCAGAGATCCGTTGATAAACTTGTCACACTAGCATTGGAACAGACGAGATTTCCCCTCTTTCTCTTTTGCGTGATGAAAGATGCGGTCAGATATCAGAAATGCGAAATGCGGTCTTTTTCCAAGACGACGAATCGGTAGCAGCCGCTGTTCGCATGTATGGGTGACCCGCGATGGCCAGCAGGATAAGTTCATCAAGCACTCTAGTTCTTTGAGATTCTTACAACCGCTGCTGCCAACTGTCATCGCATATCCTGCATGCAATAGTCTTCACCCGCAGTGAATCTCACATGCTGCCTGACAGCTCACCAGTTTCACCTGCCCTGCTCCTCTATCCTGACCTGCTATTGTTGGCAATCCGGTTCCGTCGGGATTCTCTTGTTTCCAAAACACCGTTCGGCCTTCGGTAGGGTTTCCCCACGCCCACCGGGCTGCACTACCTACAGCATCCGACGCCATCCGGTCTTGACCCCTCACTTCCAGCTGATCAAGCAGCTTCTTCCCCCAGGAAAAAGGGTGCACTTCCTCATTACCATCCCTGGCAAGAATCTTGGTTAGCTCCGAACCGCCAAAGTCCACAACCCACAAACGGGGGGGTCCATCATCCTAGCAAGTTCGCAGCTTGCTCAGCTGATGTCTTTCCCCTCATCCTCCCATCGTGATGAAGCTCCCCAAGAACCTGTTCAATAGATTTCGATAGGTTGGGGGGGACTACTAGGTCCGGAGGCATCCCGAGGAGGTCACAGCACCAACTTCCATCTCGATCTCACAGTCGCGTCAGTGAGAGCGAGAACAGCTTCCCCTCAAGAGATTCAGGGAGTGGTCTCGCCCTTCATTCACATCACGATCTCGTAATCTTGCTGTCCTTTGGCAGAACCGGTCTAATGGTGGTGGTGGTGGTGTCCAAGTCTCCAAGAAAGCCCAAGAAGCAATTCGCAATCATCTATTGGAGGTTTGCCGCCTGAGCCAAGTCCACCAGACCGTCTCATCGCGCACACCCTCTTTCTTCAGCTCAGCATTCCTCCTCCCCCAATCATCAGATTATCTTACAACCTCCCTTTCCATATCTCGCCATTTCCTCCTCCCCCCACCGCTCCGGCTGGCGGGAGACTTTTCTGATGGCCTTTGCCAAGAAGTCCCACTTGGTGATACTCAGACTCGGATTGTGCATATTCCCGGTGAACCGGAAGGGCGTTGCAAGGGAAGAATAAGACGCGAAATCATCTCTAAAATGGCGCCGGACCAAAAAGTCTTTGACGTGCTATATCCGTAGTTTCGAGTTGAGACTTCTCCAGCGGAGACCGACTCACCTGCTTACGCTTTACTCCCTCCACGCATCGTCTCGTGATGATGCCCCAGGAATAGAAGATCGTTCGGCTTTGTCCCCCGAGGCTGCGCGGCACACAACCACGCTACTATGATACGGTCCAGAGTACAGCCTCGCGTCAGCAACCCACGCAAACGAATCGTAAGCGTTATCGGCGTGGTAGTCTCACCGAAAGGCGTTTCTGCGCCTCAAAGAACTTCCATTCGCTTCAGCCAACGGGATCCCGTATCAACGGGGGGGGCTTTCGATCCCAAGAATACAGTCAGGCTATTCGGTGACTCAACCAGGCTAACTGATGACTCTATCAGAAGCTACTTGATGACAAGACAGGGCTACTTCATTACTATTATTACCAAAAGTACGGATATTCGTTCCGCGGGCGCCCGTACGAGTAGCTGCCAGACCGAAAACTAGCTCGTTCCCGCAAACGCTCTCCGCGCACCCGCCGTGCCTGCACACCTTGTGCAGTCAGTCAGTCAGCCCTTTGGAATTCACCGAGCCCAAAATGTCGTGCTCTCGTCCCCATCAGAAAAGTCGACAAAGTGACCCGCGGACCCCCATCAGGACCATCCTGCCGGGCTCATACTATGGGGGCGTGGTGGGAACGAAGTGACGGCATGGCAATGCCCCGTCGATCCCGATCGACAAGGCTTCTTCTTTTTGGTTTCCCTCGACCGCGGTACCAACTCCCCGTCTTGAGACGCTGGGCCTCCTGAATCTTTCTGTGACATCTTCGCCACTGGCCCTTGAGTGACCTATGCGAATGTTTCTATCCGGGCATTTTTTTTTCTTTCCTCATCTCTCTTGGATTCATGGTGCGACTTGATCAACCGATGAGAACACGAAGACGTTTTGAAACGGAACAGCCACCCCTTCCCGCGCTAGGGCAGTGGCTTGCTTGACAGCTTTCGTTCGGCAGAGGCTGAAGTTGATGCGTGTGACAAGGAAACCGTTGCATATCACCAGTAGTTCGTTCAGAACGACAGCACCTCGATCGTGATGGGGCCTCATTCATCCATTGTCGTCGTTAGATCCAAGCAGTGGCTTCCGATGGCCAGAGGATGCAGGGCAGGCGCCGCTGTCTTGCGCATTGAATATGTGAGCACTCAGCTTATATGCCGAAGAACGCTCTATGACCCAAATTTTGGTATTCCCACGCTACTAGTTGATATCGATTGAGACTTGCTTTACATGCATGATGTTGTACTTGAGCGTCAGCCTGTGCCTGGAATGTGCCTTCGCGTGTAGCGCGTTGTGAGGCGACCAAGGGAGACAGCATGCGCTCCGTCACTCTTCCGGTGCATAGGGGCTTGGTTCACCAGCACCAAGCTTAACAATAACACCAACTTTTTCTAAGTTCCCAGCTTCTCAATCGTGTCTCTGATAGATCAAGACAGTTGTTTCATGTTCGTACACTCAACAGGGAGTGGCCGCAGTGAGTGCGGCCACCCCAGATCGACCCGTGGGTGCGTCATCCCGCGTGCAAGCGCCCAAGGGAGCCGCCCTGATGTTGTGCATCTTGGTTGTCCCAATAACGACGGTCCGACGCCTCCCCCTAATAGGGATCTTCTTGTGCATGCCTCCCGTCCCGTTCCACGGCAGCCATTGCGGCCGCATGAGACCTGCCAGATAATGATTGACAACGGGGTTCGGAAGTGACGTTGAAGGCAACGCTTAGCTGGTCTTGAACCCTTGGTGGCTTGGGGGATTGGGCACGAAGTGGCTGATTGTTTTTGTGCGCATTGATCAAGGTCAGACGCTGCCGAGATGAAGATGTGCACATTCTTTCGTCAACAATTCTGCCACAACAAGCGCCTTGCCGCGGTCGCGTTCTTGCCTGGGCTGAGACTCTGAGCGAGGGAGTTGGCCGCAATGGATCGTGACCGCGATCGATGAACAACAAACTTCCTTGCTTGAAGGTTTTTTTTTTCTTGGACGCGTTTCTTTATCTCATCTCGATGCACGCATGTTGACAAGCCCGGCATTTCGAAGTTGGACCAACGCATCGTAGCCTTCAAGTCGATCGAGATGCAAGGCGTATCGTGATGGCTTCTCTACTCGCCAATGATGCCATCATGTTCGCCGGCGAATCGCTTGACACGCTTCTGCTCCCAGTTGTCGATGTCCTTGGCCGCAAGTCGCTATTGTCCTCCGTTAGTCCTGCTCCACACATGTCCAGCTTCTCGCCAAGCTGCTTCAACACTATGACTTACGTAGTATTCCTCCTTCATGTCCACCTTGCGTGCTGACCGACGCATGTTCAGCTCCTCATCCCTGGTGACCTGTCGCACCCTTCTATCGTACTTTTCGTAGCGGATCGCTGTAGCTGGCGTCAAGACGAAGGAACCGGCGACCATAACGGCCACGAAAGGCAGACCGAATAGGAGGAATGGCCTCTTGGCCATTTGCGCTCGGTACTTGGCGGCGAAGGTGTTAGTCGCCGCCGAGGATTGGAACTTTTTGCTGTCGAATACGGCCATGTTGAGTGACGTCTATCGAGAAGAGATGACGATGCGATGTAATTAGACGCCCAATCGGAGTATTTTGGTGTATGGGACTCGGACTGGTTGACTTTTTCGATGAAGGTATCACTCGGCCGATGGAAGTATCGTGGGCTTTCGACAATGGCTTCAATTGTTCGTTGTGAATGTGCAGCACAGGGTGGTCTGACTCTGGATTAAGGCGATGGGAAAATCACCAGGAGAGGGAACTCGAGCCTTGCGCTGAAAGTTTCCCGGAGCTGCCAAGAGAGTTTGAGCTCGGATCCAGAGGCCCCACCTGCCATGGCCTGTCCGCACGTGCCGCGACGCGTTATGTCATCCGGTCAAACCGGAGATATTATGTAACCACTCATAGACCGTCAAGTCTCATCGTCAGTCCGCTTACTCATCTTTCCTCCACTCACGGATATGGATCTCTCATTCACTCACTCACTCATTACACTAAACAATCAAGTTCAATACACTTTCACATCACTCTCGTCAACTTTAGAAGCATACCTTAGTCAGAGACCCTCGTTGTCACCAAAGATACCCAAACTCATCGTCCATTGATCAACCCTGCCTCAACTGAACTCCAAGACATTAGCCGGCGCCTCGAGGCGCCGTAGCGGCCCGCATCGGTCTATCGGCTTGCTGGGAAGGGTGAAGTAAGGTACCCGCCGCATGGTATCTGGTCCCGATCTAGTGTAGTCTCCTGGGGCCCTCAAAGTCTCTCGAAATCCATGTACATACCTATGCCTCTAAGACATGACCCGTATTATGAATGAGATCATCAAACCACAGTTTTGACAATCCTTCATGGAGCTTATAGCCCTATCTTGACTCAACATCATTGGATTGCTGACGTGGAACCCTTCCGAACGGTCTCGACCAGCTCCATCCGCATAACCCGTCGCCGGGAAGAGGGTCCCCTGTTCTCCATCAACCTCAAGCAAGGCTCAACCTGCCGTTGTTTCCCCCGGAACACCAACTGTCATCACCACAAATAGCATATCCGTACACACGCTTGATGGTAGTGTAGTGCCATGCCGCACATGCGAGCGGACCCGCTCTCCAAGAGACCGTACACGTACCCTTCTGAGCCACTCCGTCCCTACTTTGTGTGCCATACTCTGCACTTCGGTCTCATCTGAAACCAAGCACGCCTAGCGAACGCCCTTCGCCCCCAACTACCACCAGCCATGCCCAGCGATGTTCCCCGCAAACTTCCCTATCGGTGGCACGTCTTGTGTCTTGGTACTGTCCTGCCTACTTGTTTCTCGTCATTTTGAGCCGCCAATGTTAGACGTCGTGAGTCGGGTCGTCGACCGTTGTTCAGAGACAAGCCCCACGGTCTGCCACAAACACAAACAAGCGCTATCTCCCTCAAACTGGATGGGCCCCAGCAGCACCAGCTAAGAACTGGGAAGTAGGAACACGCAGCAACAACTGACAAAGAGGCCAAGGGGCACCAAGGGGCACTCTGGGTTCCCGGAAAGCTGGGAACCGTGCCGGAGGAGCACTGACCAAGCGGAAACTTTGGCCCAATGCCCAACACAGCGTAGCACTTGGCCCGCAGGGCTTCAACACCGTCCCCTCTTTTCGCCCTTTTGCTACAATACACATGGTGTCCAAGACAGTGCTTATAGCTCTTTCACGAAAGTTGGCCCGGCCATCCCCTCCATCCCCCCTGTATGACACAGTGAAAGCTATTTCGTCGGATGATTTTTAGGCTTAGTTCTGCTTGCCTGTCGGGCCACAAGCCGACTAGGAGCTCCTGAAGGGGGCAGCCTGGATAGGTGTCACGGTCTCCGAGGCTTGTTTCGTTTCGTTGAGGCGGACTACGCAAAGCAAGCCAAGTGGCAGTGGTCTGCTACTCTGCTGCCGCAAAGAAACTTGCCGGACTATCCAAGAGCGTGTGTTATTAATGGACTTTCTCCATTGCCGGCGTCTGGGCGTTGGTGGCGTTTGGAGCATGTATAAGTTTCTCCCAAGTCCTTCTCCTCGTTTTCATTTCAGGTGCTCAAGCGACTTGGCATTCTTTGACGTCCCACGAACATCAGAAAGATCTTCTCGAATCTCCCATCGTACCCAGGCTGGTCCATCCATTCGACGTTTCGCGATCCACTCTACTACTTCGCTCACATCCACCAATTCAACGTCTTCTGAGCATCTTCCCTTTTTCGGACCCCACACGTCAATACAGTCTTCACAATGGGTTACTACTGCTCCAACTACTACGTATGTCTTCTCAAAGGTCGTGATATAGTGCGCTCAGCTGACTCACGTGACACTCTGCAGGGCTCCATCCACTGCCACAACACAGTATCCCGCTTTGGCGATAGATGTCATCTCTGCGCAGTATGTGAAAGCCCTTAACTACGATCAGCTTCCCAAAATCTCACATTTTACCGTCACAGGCATCAAAAAGAGGCGCTTCCATTAAAGATGGTCTACTTTCCGAGGCCGAGCGATGGGGTTCATCCACCCCCCGGCCCACCCACGGCGATCGCCGGGTCGAGCGGGCCAGCCGGCCGGCCCGGGACTCAAGAGTGAAGAACTGAGGCAACTACATGAATGATTAACGCATAACACATTAACGACCAAAGATGAGAGGAGTTAGAAAGAAGTAAGCGAGAAGCGAGCAATCAGCGCAGTTCAGGAGGAGGGAGCATATCCAACGGTCAGGAACGGGTGTGTGATACACAGGCGTTCAAAAAACTAAAACGGGACCCCGCGATGCGAGACGGTCCAAGCATTGTTCTTTCACTTGGGACACAATTATGGAGTGAGGCCTACCAACCCATGAGCCCCTCATTCAAACTGTTAGATATCGGTATACCAATTTAATTGATTTGCCATCGTCGGACACATTTAATCAAAATGTGCAATCTGAATACGCATTCGGCCATGTAGACTCTCATGAGGCCTTGACGCGGTACCTGCTCGTTGGACAAGTCATAACTTCACGGTCCTGCCAATGCCGAGTCAGAGTACTCCGCTAACTCTAAACTGACGCGCTGCTGCGATGGCCATGACCTCTTGAACCTATTTAAGGTTTTCACGTCACTGGACGACTGGACTGATATCGTGAGGGGGCGGCATCGACAACTTTGGGAAGCCGATGCTCGAACTTTAGAAAGATCAACCTTCAATCCAGACTCAATAAGGCAACGTAAGCAAGGTGAATGAGAGTCCGTGTGTGTGCGCTGCAAGGCTACAATGCCCGTATTTCCAAATCTAGGGACCCGTAACCATGGCAGGGGTGTGCCGTGTCCCGAAACCTCATCACATCAAACAAAACCAGCTCAGTTGAACTCAGAAACACCGCCCCAACAGGTCGGCTTAGACACATCCACCAGCCAACTTTACGGGGTGGGCAGTAAATGCCTCCCCTCTGCCGACGGAAAGCAAACTTTCTGATAGAACTCGAGTCAAAGTTGAAAGTTCACAGAGGAGCAATCCTGTGTCATGGAAATCTCAACTTGTCTGATAAGAAGGCTGGAAAGAAAAAGGTTCAAACCATGACAGGTGGGGCCTATGAAAAGGGTTTGTTTCAGAACCTGCGGCAGATCCACGAACAACGCGCTGCTATGCAGCACTCCTCTCAAACATTGCACGTGATTCTCGAACATACAACTGTCAGAAGATTTGCGTAGACGGCCCGAACAGCTATCAGTCATTGCTTTCCGAGGGGAGGATCAGAGATTGCCGCCGGGACGAGTTGAGACGATCACGCCATGGCCAGACTGAGCCCGGACCGTCCAAGATCATGGATCTTTGTCGCTCTCGACTAGAAACTTCGGATGGTGCTTTTCTTTCTTGCGAGTCCGACGTGTCTTTGGACTGATCACATCTGCTGGCTTCTGCCATTCGGGGGGGATCACGTACTAGAAACAAGTCATGGGATGCTGATTTTAGACAGGAGATTTTCGATCTTGGCTCATATGTAAGCGCGGAGGGGGCCATAACTGGCATAAAAAACACTCTGAATCTATATTGAATTGAAATTGCTGTCAGATTGACAGGAAGTTGATCTGACGCTAAGGAAAGCCGCTCTCATGGCTGCTCGGATTCGCGACAGCAAATACCGACGGCCTGACCGACTTGTCGGCCAGTTGCTTTACATGTGAGCCTGCATTATCTGCCCACCGTCCAATGTCAATCGAACGCCCGTAATGCCACGTGGTGGAGCAGACCCCTAACACAATCGAGGTTTTCTTTGTCACAATCGTGATTCAATAACATGTTGTTCCCCGGGAGCATCGATAAGCCTAATAATCTTCCACCCTCTATAACCATTAGACTATTTTGTGCACGCCTTGCGTTGATCAAAAATTGATATACCGGAAGGAAAATGACCTGAATGTCGAACGATGTTTGAAGAGACATGTTTGACCAAACTTATGTTGTCTTGATCTTGCAACGTCCGCCTCGGTGAAGCCTGACACTGCCCGTTCAGTGAACGTTTCAAAGTCTCCCTTCTTGTAACAGGGCTTTCAATCACCACTTCCAAGCTCTTGAAGTCAGGAGGCATGTGTCACATCTATTACGAACAGCCGTTTCTCGGTAGCCCTCATCATGATATGTCCACTTTGTATGATGAGTGTTCAGTGGCCCAAACTTAAAGAATTGGTTCAGCATTCGAAAGGTTATGCCATAATATTTCCACTACCCCTTGATTATCTCTCAGACCCATAGCGACATGAGCTTACCACAGACTTATCATTCGAATAAAACTCAGAACACCCCTGCTGCATGCCAAATGCTGCCCAAAGTCTGGCTTCTGTGAGAGTCAATGTGAAATAAGATTGGCGACTTCCGTGGTACCAGCAGTGCCAAACCCATCATCAAGGTACTTGGTGAGTATAAGAACTGAAAACTTTTTACACCATGTATTTGGCTACCATTCTTTTCTTCCTTGCTACATTCTCAAGGAGAGGGGACGACAAGATACAAACTTACTACGCAATCCACCCCTATCCCCCCAAATCATTATCACTGAAAGAATCAAACGATTACAGAAGATGGAATTCCATCCGAAAGCAGCACAAAATAGTGCCACAACACCGCTAAAGACACACAACTTAGCTGGTATATTCCACAAGTTCCCACAACTGCCTCTGGAACTGCGCTTCCTCATCTGGGAACAAGCTCTGTACCAGCTAGACGCTGAAGGGCAGCCGCTGTTTGTCAAGCTCCCGCAAACCTTGGAGAAGGAAGCTGCCACACAAGATGCAGTCGAAAAGGCCAGGAAACCTTCAAAAAATTTGAATTCCTCAAAGCATACGCCCAGGGATTGCAAAAAATATTCAGTGCATGGCACGCCTTCAATGCATTTCGTTGATGCCAATCTTTGGCTGGCGTGTAAAGAGTCTCAGACGGCATTGAAGAAGGCCATCAAAGACTGCGTACGCAAAAATTCCGGGAACAAGACGTTCAAGATCTCTGGTAGTCAAAATCTACTAGGGACGCTAGATGCAGACAGCAGCTCCGCCGACGAAACAGACCCATCAACGACCGGTCAAATTCGGCAACGAAAAGCAGATGGATGGGCATCTGCCGTGACCTTCAACTGTAGAATCTTCTGCTATCAGCTTTGGAAAGATAAGGAGGCGGCCAGACGAAGGCCTCTTCGTTTCCCTTTCGAAAGCACCAGTCCCGGTTTCCGGGCAGAGTTGATGGGCACCCAGGGTATGGTCTTCGAGTATGATTACTCCTGGATGTTCAACTCTTGTAAGGAATCGGTAGTGTCTCTCATGGACCAGAAAGATATTAGAGGCTACTTCTTGGAAGCCGCGAACAATGAGGATGAGTACGACCAGACGCAAATCTATCTCATCGACTATGGTATCTGCCTAAAGCCTGGTGCTCAAATTCGTAAGTCTTATAGCTGCGGCGACCGCAGGTTTAATGAAGTCTGCTACTCTGATTTTGATATGGGCAGAAGTAGGCCTTTGGGGGCGAAAGACTTCCTCGAAGAGGTTCACAATTGGGCACAAGATTGGGCAGATAGAAATGGTCCAAGACTGATGCGCGAACCAAGCTTTTGGACGTTAAGACATATATTCGGTCGTGTTCGTGTCCTTGTTTGCGAGTTAGCTCAATAGGAGGAAATCAAGAACCCAAGGTTGCTTGTTCGTGGTATTGAGAGTAAGCAGTACTGAGAAGTCATGAACTGTCCCATCAACTGCGGAATGGCGACAGTACATCGAATCTCCAGTTTTCTCCAACTCTGCTCTTTCATGATTTTTGATTGAATGTAGTAAAGAAAATAGGGTCGGATTGATGTATAATTAGCCATTACCCCTCATAAATGTACGTCATGTACTGTCGCCATTCCGCAGTTGATGGGATAGCACATCACTCTCATGAATCCTCTCACTACCTACAACAAGTCAGGATCAAGGTACCGTGAGATATCAAATATTTTCATGATCTACCATCTCTATTAGTGTTTTGCCCCGAAAGAAACTCTACAATCCATGGTCCAACGGATTCACTTAATTAAAAGGACCCATTCTGCCACCTTTCCCCAAACATATTGAATTCCTCAAGGGTCAGTCATGCTGCCCTCATCTGAAAGGTAGAAGCATTCGATTCTTTGGCGTCATTCAATTTCTACCTCCTCAAGAGAATCTGGTATGCTATGCTACTCTGTGTGAGCAGGCTGTCTTGACGGGTGGCTCAACTCGAGTGAGAGCCCCTGTCGCTTGCGGTAAGGCATCCATCTCACGAAGCTGACACAGACGATAGGAGCGGTCCGGACCAAGTCAGCGATGGCGGAGGTGTGCCGCAATGCCCTACTTGATTGGACAACAGACAGGTGCCGTGGTTATAACGTAACCCGCTGGTGAGACAATTGATGCAGGTAGAAGTGCCGCGCATGATACTGCTGACCAGCCAGGCCAGCCTGCTGAAGCGGGGTTTTGTCTAACATCCAACAAGCCCCAAGACGGCCGAAGCAATGCGCCCGATCACAGCCGGTGAGATATCAGGCGACCAATGAAGTCGCAGTTCACGTGTTCTCATGCCCTTTTGATAACAGGCGGTGTGTATGCTTCCAACTCCCCCATCCCTCTATTTGGTCCGTTGCGGACCGGTGGCGATGTGATCAGTATCGGAGCCTGCATTGAGCCTCGAGGCAACTCAATACCTTAATTATGGGGCTCAGCTCTTGTCGTTCCTCAAAATGTGCCTTGCCGTTGTTGGTCTTCTCTTGAATCGGACCCCGCATGGAATGATTGAATCGGTCGCGCAATGATAGTCTCGACCATCAATGGATACAGAATTCGGAGGGATGCTCTTGAGGCCTGGCTCCAGAACACTCGAGGCGCGGGCAACTTTAGCCTCACAGTAAGCATGTTTCAATCTTCTATATGAGATAACAAGGGCAGTATACGAGAATACCTACGGAAATAATGCACAGAGGCCGAGAGACGGGGACACAGAGAAAGACGGAGACAATAGGGAGAGAGGCTGAGGCAGGGTAGAGAGGGAGAGATAAAGGGACATGATGATCAGCGGTAGAGATAGAGAAGAGGCAGACCGAGACTCTAGTGGAGACATAACTGATATCAGACAGTCTAAGGATGGCGACTATGTCATAACGGCCACAATAGCAATCACTCAGGTAACCCCGTAAACCAAGACTTTGGGCTACTCAAAACTAACCAAAGCGACATAAAGGACGACGTTCAACATCTACTTATACCGAGAAGAAGAAGAAACCGAGCTTAGACTAAATTCAGGCTAGACTTTAGAGACAGCAATCAAGCATCGGACGTGTCTCTTGCCTAAACCACGCTCGGACGCACAACATGGTATTCTAAGCCCCATGAAGGGAGAGTGTTTATTCGGGTCATTAAGGCCATGAGCAGAGGGGTTTTCAGTAATCGATATCTACTACGTTACCTAAGGCACAATTCTGCATGAGCCCAGTGCTGCTAATGTGCAACGGAGAGGCGGTGTTCCAGGTGTGCACCTCTGCAAGGCAAACACCGAATACGTTAGCCAGTGAGAATCTGACAATCTTCAGCGACCCCGCCACCCGGGCCGAAATGGAATTATTGCATGTACTTTTCTTCGAACTTAAATGTCATCCATCTTCCTGAGGCTCGGTCTCACAGGCGACGAATTCTCAGGATAATAAGGAAGACCCCTGGTTGTGCCGACTCCTGTCATTCTCTCCACGCCTATTGTAGACGCTTTGTCCAGATCCTGCCTCAGGTTTCCGTGTATCTATTATATGAACCCCAATCTCGACATGCAGACACAAGACGCGCACGATCGATTCACGGAGATTTGCCATAATTCCGACGAATATCCTCAAGTACAGCTCAGAAAACAGGAACCTCATGAAGCCCTCTTCGGTGAACGGCAATATAGAAGCCTCCAGGAGAGGGAGTGCTCCTTGTTTGACCGCGCGGCATCTGTGATCACGTTCTGGGAGACTGGAAGACGAAACCGTAAGAAACCGTGTGATTTCTTCAACTTAGGCACCTAATCTGATGTCAGTAGAATTCCCTAATGATGAAGAAGCCATTTGGGATATGGAGACCCTCTGGTCACACCTGCACCGCAGTGACCAAGACCCGCACGTTCGTCATGTGTAAGCTATGATTACCCTTCAACCGTCGGTTAAAATTTACTGACAACCACGAGAAGTTTTGTTAGCGCAGACAACTCGAGATCGCCTTTGAGTTGTTCTATGGATATGTTCAAATTAGTTTGTACATATCACCAAGTCAACCCCTCCTTTTTGGAGCCAGTACACGCCTTCGGACGACAAACCGAGCCTCTCGATCTCTGTCTGGCTCAGTTCAAAGGCAGCGACACGCTTGATTGTCTTACTGAGGGCCTCCCAGAACTTCCTAAGATCGGCCGTTCCGGTCGCGAAATTCAACTGTCTTATCTTCTCCGCTCCGTCGAATCTTCCGAAAGCGGCAAAGGGGTCTGGGACTGGCAGATTCGCCAAGTTGCGAACTATCACTCCTTCGACGTGGAAACTGGACGGGCCTTTTGGTTCACCGTCAAAGCAGACGATGTTTTTGAAGACCGAATCAAGAAAACAAGCCCTCTCCTCAGAATTCCAGCCAAAGCTGAAACACAAGATGGAGATGTTTCTCTCTATCTTCAGGCGTCATTGGCTACTCACTTGGTTTACCTCTGCTGGTGCGATGAGAATTGGCGACAGTTCATCAACGAGACCGAGGCAGGGATTCGAGCGATTGTAACGCCAGCCAGCAAAGCCATTGTCGATGACCTCATTGACAGGGAGTCCAGCCTCTTGAGCGCGTACCCAAAGCCTTTGAGAGACTCCCGCAGCCAAACTATGTACTCGCAAAGTCAATCCATGTCGGGCACTCTGGCCACCACTATTGACCCTGAGAAGAACAAGATGTCGATGCTATCCCGGATGGCAAATGGGACGTCTTCAACTCTAAGCTCTTGGCTTAGACAGGAGAAGTCAAAACAGACGGATCCGGAGCTCGGTGGCCATTGCGCTGCTTGTCCTACGGACACAAGTCCACCACCTCCCCAGCCAGACACATGGGAGGTTCTCAACCAGTTTCGGTTCAAAGACGTGCAGACCTTGCACAAGCACTCTGAAATCATTCATCGAGCTTCTCTAGCTCTGGAACTTGATATGGGTGTCCTTAATGACATCTGCACATTCTACAGTCACACCGCCGCCACGGAGTTCCGCGGAAAGGTTGCATGTGAAGGAGCAATCAGCAACTTCATCAAAGAAGTCCAATCTATCGCGAGGAGATTGGAAACACGACTGCAACAAATGCGCTGCTTGGCCATCACCCTTGGTCAAAGCATACAGCTGGTGAGCATACCTTCATAAGCAGAATGAAAGAAAGCGTTCCTAAGCTAACATGGGAACTCAAAGTATGAGCGATTACTCCAGCAGCGTACCAGTCATATCGGTAATTGGTTCGCGGAAATAGCGCACGAGAACACGAAGCAGATGCAAGTCATAACAGACAAGACGTTGAAGGAAACGACATCGATGCATGTCATCACGATCGCGACACTAATCTTTCTGCCGGCCACTTTCGTTGCAGTAAGAACTGCTTACCCGAATATTGCCGGCATAATATGAACCTCTGACTTAATGGTAGACTTTCTTCCAGAGTGGAGTTTTGCTTTGGAAAGAAGATGGGGCAGACGACATGACAAGGCCATTCATCTGGAAGCGTGATAGCTTGATGCTCTTCTTGAGCTTCTGTGGTCCTCTGACCGCGGCAACCATCGGCGGCTGGTTGTTCATGTATGTAAGACTGAGAAAAAGTACACGGCGGAAATTGTAAGAGTTCAATTATCATAGACATCATGTAACAAAAAATGGCTACTGGTGAAGGAAATTCTGAATTATTTTGTTGATGTTTCGTATCTTGCTAAAGTCACGTTGCCTTGCTCCCCCTGGATGTAATGCATGCGTAAATGGCTGACATAGAGACCTGCCTGCCTCTTACATGTTCAACCCCGAGCACGCATGGCCACCAGTGGTCATTTTGCTCGGGACTGAGAGATGAAGGCCATGCTGCAGGTCAGACAACGCCGCCGAGACCTGCAGGATGCCGATTCTTCCGCACAGCGACGAGCAAGGAACATTGAGTCTAAATATTTGGCCTGCCACAACACCTGGCACAGGCTGCATATGGTCCGCTTGTCTCTGCTGGGAAGGATCAATAAAACCAGCCCCTCCATGCAAGTTGTCCTTCATGGTCATAGCCTGTCACGTAGAACGTGGCCAATAATGAGGAGGAGTCCGCGCCAAAAGCAGATCAGGCGCACCAAGTCTGTCTGGCAGCTGAGTCGATGCCTATCAGGCTTTTTTTTGCCTCACTGGTTCGCCAACGGTATAGCAGTTAAAACGATGAGATTCGCCGCATTGGGTTTGCCCACCTGGCCTCGCCGTTATCCCCGCAAACCTTCTAGAAGCCCCCTTGGATAAAAACACGTTGAGATCGACATCGTTGATACCCCGTGGCTTCAAAATCAAGAAAATCTTCGTCACTACCTCAAGCGCCTAGTCGAATTGAGAGTCTAGAGCATCTTTATCCCTCAAAACCCGGGTCTTGGCATGAAGTTCTCTCACTCTAAACCCTTCACTTGTCGTTCCTTTAGTTCTCAATCGAAGAAAGATGAAGCAAGACAACGTAATTGCAGAATTCAAGCGATACGTAGATCAGTATGTCTCCGAGCATAGCTGTCGTGGCATGAGAGGGTACGAGGACGGGCTTGTTGATTTTGTTCCCCGATGCGCGCTGGATAGTTTCTGGGTGGCGGAGAATGTGGAAGGCGTTCTCCTTGGTCGAGAAGACTGGATCAAAGACAGCACTTCCACTATTCAGGAGGATTACATCCAAGTCTTCTCCATCCTCGTCTACATGTCGCAACCCCAGCACATTTCGCTATTCACAGGAGAGTCTATTCATGACGGATTACTACCACTGAGAGAGACACCTCATGCGTTTTCCGAGGCCGCAGAGAAAAGTATTTTTGAGGAATTCGAGAAAGAACAGTGGAGATTCTGCCCCTTTCTGTTCAATACCGAAGGGAGAGGCAAACCTCACAAACAACATCTCCCACCGCTACAGATCATCCCTATCATCGCCAAAGAACAGATCAAACACTCGGGGATCACCTACGACGACAGAGTCTGCGTTTTCCGAGTAACGCTACATTCGCTGTGCTTTAACCAGGAGGTAAAAACACACTGCCATGCAATTGCTAGACTGAAGAAAAGACTCGGATTCTGATCTAGTTCTAATAGGAGGTGGTCTTCAAAACCTATTATGGAGAAGACCCAGAGGTGATTCAAACCTACGAAAATGAAGTGAATATGTACACGCAGCTGGACGCACAGCCGGCTCTGTACGATTCTATGTCCATCATTAGATATTTCGGCTCATTCGAAATTCCTGGTCTACGAACCGTAATACTTGAGTACGCCAGAGGCGGGAATCTGAAGTCTTTCTTCGAATCATATCCTCCTCCTTTGGCTCGTTCAGACCGCGTCCTTCTCTGGAACAACTTGATGAATCTATTGGGCGGTCTGCACGCAATTCACAATCTCAAGGAAACTCAAGGAGGCAAGGGGTCCTGGGGACTCAGAGGGTCTGTCGCCACAACATTATCAAGCTTGACCATTTTCATGTTTAGCTAATTATCTACAATCATAGAACTCACCAGGATATCAGGCCGCAGAATATCCTGGTCTGCCCTGATCAGTCTGGCAACGTATACGCTGCAAAATTCAAATTTGTGGACATGGGAACTGGTCATATTCGTAGATCAAGAAACCAAGGGATGGAACTGAACGCCGACGACAACTGGGGTAACGGGATGTACAGTAAGCGCTTGCTATGTAAATGACTGACATCACACCTTCTGGATCAGCTGACTTTGGATTTTTTAGGTGCTCCAGAGGCTTACAGGGATTATGGAGACTCCAGGGAAATTCGATGGGAGAGCGATGTATTCTCTCTCGGAGCCGTTGCCAGCGAAGCTCTCGTCTGGACAAGGTGGGGAGAGTATGGACGTGATCTTTACCAGAAGGATCGAATTATTGAGACTCGCAGGTCCCGCTTAAAAGGAGGCTTTCATGAGGGATCTTTCCATGACGGAGATCCAGACGGCCCATGCCTTCTGAACTCAGTTGAAACATGGCTTCAGAGAGCAAGTAGCTTCGCTGGGGAAGAATCTCATTGGTTTTTGGCAGTGAGCGGATTTCTGCTTACCCGCATGCTCTCTATGAACCCAAGAAAAAGGCTGGAGGCCATTGAGCTTCATGACGAATGGAAGAGCAAAGTCTTTGAAGGGCCTGACCTGGTTCAGCCACACGAAGAACTTTACCCTCTTACAACCAGATTCTCAGGGCCATATTCTGCATTTCGGAGGAGGGAAACCAGCCCGCTGAGTCAACTCCCCGCTGAGAACTCTCCAGGAACAGTGGAGGCAACTCATTTCATCGGATCAAGATCGGAATCCAGTCCTGGAATTATTGTACAGTCGCCGGAAGAAATGCGGAACGAGATCGACCTGGGAAATGCATACCGGCTAAACACGCGAGTGCCTCAGAGGTTCAACACTGTGCCCCCGCGACCGAATCATGGTTCCGAGAGCATTTTGAACCACGAAAATCGCTTGTCTGTTCCAGGTGGTACTTATGCAGCATCTGAAACCTATCATGGACCTTTCAATTGGCACAGAACACCGGAGTCTGGGCCAGTTGATGCCGCAAATGCCCTCAATATCGAAGCTCAGACAAGTACGCCAATGGACGTGGGAAATGAGGCAATGGGGGTACCGGAACAACCAATATCACCAAACGTCGCCAGCAACCCTGCGATGAACGTCTTTCGGAACGAAAGTCTTCCAAGTCGACAGGAGAGATTGCCATCCTACACATCCCAACTCGGACTCTTTCCCCCGAATCAATTTCAATGGAACACGGAACCTAACTCTCCCCATGAAGTCAATGAAGGTGTAATCACAATGGCAGCCATTTACAGCGTGTGCATAGAAGGTAAAGATCGCTCACGTTCGCCATTCCGACGCTCTCCAAGTATGAAGTCTAAATTCAAAGGGAGACCCCTTGAGGCGTTCCCGCAGCTGGTGTCAGCCCTGCAGAAGTTGAAAGGGGAGAAGGGCCGTGATCAGGTAAGGATGAATACATGACCCACACCAGTTTCACTGTGTCCACTGACAGTCATATCTCTAGATGTTTCTCGTGGATGACTCGAGATCCATGGAGCCTCATCAGAAGAAAGTAGCCGCGAGCTGCCAAGTCCTCTCTTACGTGCTCAAGAAGGGAGAGGTTGACCCAAACGCAACCTTTGAAGTCTATTTTACCTCATCTCACCCTCCACTCCAATCAACAAGGACTTCGGAATTGAAAGACAACATTGAAAAAATGCTATTCCATGAAGATCAATGCAACATGGCCCCCAGTTTGGACGAGTTGGTCAGTAAGGCTATCCAGAATAGAAAACCGGTCAGCATATATGTCTTGACGAACGGACACTGGAACCTCAAGAACCGAGAGAATTTCTGCGGTGTAGATGGACCGATCAAACGCTTGGTGACTCATGTTCGACGGACAAACGAACAGCAGAATTGGATCGGTGTCCAGTTCATCCGCTTCTTTGACGGCAACGAGAACCCTGATGACAAGCTCGGGGAGACCCGGTTGAAAGCATTGGATGACGATTTGAAGCAACAGACGGGAATGTGAGTTGATGCCCAGCTTCTTTACAAATCGGTGATAATCACTGACTCCCAACTAGAGACATCGTCGACACACGGAATTTTGACGCAGATGTGCGCAAAATTTTACTTGGTTCAGTCGTACCAGATGAGGATAATTCTTGAAGTATTATCTGAACTTCGATGCACTATAGCTCTGAGGATCCCACCGGCATGGATTGTCACCAAAGGCGCGGCGTTAGGGGCACATTTGTTAGAGAAGTCCATTGTTTTCTGCCTTGGGCGTCATTCATGATGTTGGCGTTGCTGATACTCTCAAGTTTTTCTTCTCTATTGTGCTCCGTATGTGTTGGCAGTATGGGTGGGTAGGAGGGCGTTGCTTATGTCCTAAGCGTTGTGGACAAGTCTATAGACTTTCAAAATTTTGCTCCATAAACGAACTAGCCGACGAGGAAGCCATTTAGTCTTGAGCGACGTTGCATCTATCTGTACCGTTTATGACGGTTGTGACGGGCATTAGGAAAAGTTAGAGTGATATGCGTTCATACTAATTTGGATATCAAGCTTATTTTCAACTTGGGAACAGCGAAAAGCAAAGCATGTGGCCGAAAGTAACTGCGAGATCGACAAGTAACGACAACCCTGCTTGCTACTTTCCTATTGTGGTTCTAGAAGGTGGGCTTTTCAGAATATACTTTTGGCGGACGGCAGACGTGCGACAGGTGGCCTACGGGAGCATTCATGATCAATCGGCAAGAACTCAAATAGAGCAGTGCCGTTAGGTTTCGATAGCGTGTGAAAATAGGCTTCCTACATTCGTCTTCGATGTCCATGCTAGTCAGTTTGCTTGCGCTTTCAGCGAATGTCTTCATCGAAGCCGGAGACAGCGAGTGCTCTGTGTGCCTATTGCACTACAGTATGTCTGTAGCAATCAACGATATGCCGCGTTGAAGATTTTAACAAAGCACTGATCCTATCGCTAATGCACTTTCAAGTTGGTTGTTTACTTATTAGAGAGGGGATCCCTTCAATTTCATCATGGAGAAGCGAGTTGCTCGCAAAGCGCACAGATCATGTCTTTCAGTATGTGCATTGGCCAAGCTCGTTTGCGCCCCGCTGTCTCATGGCGTGGCATCCTGAGTGCCAAGATTAACGGTACGTAGGAAGAGTTGACGCTAATAGAGTCGAGAGGAGAGGCAAGAATAGCATAAAGGGGCGAATGGGCAGTGAAGGCTGGGCGAAAGTTTCTTTTTACGGTGAAGTACAGATGATGAGATACAGATACAGATCTCAGCTATCATCAGCCGCAAATCGACGATAACTTAACGGCATTGAAAACGGGAAATTGAAGTAAGCCTTTCAGTGTCTGAGACTGTGAGACAAGAAGCCGCGCTAGAGGAGTTGTCAGCCACGCCAACGCACCAAGTATCACCATCCAGAAGAAGGAAAGGGCTGCTGAGGTAATGACCAGTGACTCCAACGGTAACATTCTGGACCTTACGAATGCGAGCTTCTGGGAGCCTTGGCTTGCTGTGCGATGAACAGCTCGTCTGCTCCAACAAACAAGCAGCCAACCCCTGTTCTGCCCCTGACAGCTCGCAGCGACGCCCAGACCGACGATCCCTGCAAGCGCACCACCCATCGGCGATGTCTGGACTCTGATTCTCTGAGAGCCTCCGGCGGCCCCTCTCTTGTGCCTGGTGTTGGCTGACGGCGTAGGCTTACACTACGGGCTTGGCCCCCGTCGCCCGTGAAAAGATCTTTGGTTGTTCGTGCAGCAACATCAGGCAATGGAGAGTATCCAACAGGCCTGCGGCGGAAGATTATGTTCGAAAAAGGAAAATGCGACGCCGCAGGGCTGCTTAAATTACCGCGCCGCCCAATGTCGGTTGTGAAATCATGAAAGATGCAGAGGCCGCACTTCATCAAATAGCAATGGGGTTGGTGACGGTCGCCACAATTCGATATGGTGCTGAATCACAAACCCCAAAGTGGGCTCGCCCAATCAAGGCCCAGTGTTTAAACCTTCGGAGAGGCAGAACGAGGCCACAGCTTTCATCTTATATAGATGGCCCATGGAGACCGTCTCCGCGCGCGCTTCGACCAGGATGGACTTCTCCGTTTCGTTCAGCTTCGGGTTTTGTTCCACCTGCCTGTTGAACAGTTGAAGGGTGACCTTGAAAGTTGAAAGAAGGCTAAGAGCGGCGAAGTGCCGGAGCTGTCGGGCCATGCGCGCGTTCAAGTAGCATTAGGCTAGTTAATAAGGATATCGAAGTGGGCTTATACCGAGTCATGCGAGATCTCATTGGTTAGATCGAGGCTTTTGAGATTGACCAAGAACAATTCGAAAAGTCAAACCGGCGGAGACAAAGCGACAACACCTCAACAACCTGCCATCACCTTGGTTTCTCTTAAAAGCCAGACCCGCCCTGATTTGGGATTCAGTATCTTGGCACCTCCGTTTGTTATATCGTCCAGATTGAGCGTCCGCTCGTCGTCATCAAGCGTCGCCAACTGCGGCCGCCACTTTGGTAGGAGCGTGAAGGAGGAGACTAACGGTGACTTGTGAGACGGACTTCAACGGGGAGCACAGAATACCCAACACTGTTGCACGGATGATGGGCCAGCTATTTCAGTGGCCCTTCATCTTATCTCCCGCGACTTGCAGGCCCTTCATGTACGGGACCTTTTCGACCTTTTCTTCCCGTTTCCATTTCCCAGCCAGCTGGGCAACTCTACAGACGCCAAGGCGAGCTAACAAGGTTGCTTTGCTTTTCCTGCAGGGCGGTGCAACGCCCAAGCGAGGAACCCCAACCATGACTCGGCCTTGTTTGGGGAGTTGGGAACTTGGGACTGGAGTTCTTGGCCGTAAACCTTGGCAATTAAAACGGGATGAACATGAATGGGGTTGTTAGTGTGCTGCAAAGCTGACAACCCGCATGGGCGCATAGGGGGGTCCATCGAGACTTGGCATAGTCGGATGGGATATATGGGCGGCTCGCCATGTCGACCTTTGGTAGTTTCTAGTCTTCCTCTTCTTCTTTACTGCTAGTCAACTGTCCGTCTTCTTCTTGTAAGACAACGTCACTCGTTTCTAACTACCAAAGTCATTCTTTACATAATACTAGTCATTCTTTCGCATCATGCATTTCAAGACCGTTGCTACCTCGCTCCTCGTGGCCGGAGCCGCCGCCTCCCCCTTCCGCCGCCAGACCTCGAACGAGACCTTCTGCGATGAGGACCTCCCCGCCCCTCAGCCGAGCAGCACCAAGGCTCACTTCCCGCCTTACCCCGTGAACACCACCATCCCCGGTGTTCCCACTACTCCCGGCAGCTCCTATCCTCCCCCGTCAAACCCCGGAAACGGAGGCAACACTGGTTCCGGCTCAGGATCTGGCTCCGGCTCTTCTGGTTCTGGTTCCGGTTCCAACACTGGTTCCGGATCTGGCTCCTCCAGCTCCGGCTCCAACACGGGCTCCAACACTGGCTCCAACACTGGCTCCAACACTGGCTCCAACACTGGCTCCAACACTGGCTCCAACACTGGCTCCAACACTGGCTCCAACACCGGTTCCAACACCGGCTCCGACAAGGGCTCCGACAAGGGCTCCGACAAGGGATCTGACAAGGGCTCCAACGGCGGTTCCTACCCCGGAGGAGGCAAGCCTGGATCTGGCGGGTCATGGCCTTCCGCTGCTCCCTCCGCTGCCGCCTCTGCTCCCGCCGGCAACGTCCCCTCGTACCCGGGCAAGCCCCCCGCCGGCTCTTCTTACATTCCCTTCCCCCAGAACACCAGCATTCCCACCGCTGCTCCCTCCTTCACCACCGTTCCCGGTGTTGCTCTTCCCACCGAGCCCATCGCCGTTCCCAGCACCACCGTCCCCGCTGGCAGCAACGACACCATCCCGGCCTCCACCTCCAGCACGGCCTCCGGATCCGCCTCCGCCAGCGCTACCGCCCCGGCCACCAACATCCCCTACGGAGTTGCCATTACCAAGTGCACTGTTGAGGGTGACTTCGCTCTGACCTTCGACGACGGCCCGTTCACTTACACCGAGCACGTCCTCGACCTCCTCGCTGAGGCTGGCGCCAAGGCCACTTTCTTCGTCAACGGCGAGAACTTTGGCAACATCAACAACTTCCAGGATGTCGTCAAGCGTATGGTTGCCGACGGCCACCAGATTGGCTCGCACACCTACAGCCACCCCGACCTCGCCACCCTGGGCGACGCCGACATCATCCCTGAGATGACCACGCTCGAGGATGCTCTCATCAACATCATTGGAAAGTACCCCACTTACATGCGCCCTCCTTACTTCAGCTGGAACGACAACACCCTCTCCATCCTGAAGGCTCTTGAGTACCACGTTATCCACGCCGATATCGACTCCCTCGATTACGCCAACAACGCTCCCCTCGGCAACCTTACCAGCGTCGGTATCTTCGAGAAGAGTGTCGACGCCGGTGGTTCCATTGCCCTGGCCCACGAGGTAAGTTTCTTACGAGTCCACTCAAAATTTGACCTTCATGACAGACAGTTAACACCTGCGATAGGTTCACCAGAACACCGCCGAGTACCTCGTCCCCGAGTTCCTCCGCATCATCAAGGAGAAGGGCCTGAACGCTGTCACCGTCGGTGAGTGCCTGGGCGACGCCGAGGCCAACTGGTACAAGACCAAGCGCACCTCCACCCCCACCGCCACCGCTTCCAAGATCGTCGTCTCCATCACCAGCACCGCTACCCCCACCGGCGTCATCGGCCCTGACGGCGCCTGCGGCGGCTCCAACAACTACGTCTGTGAGGCTGGCGCCTGCTGCTCCGAGTACGGCTTCTGCGGCACCTCCCAGGCCTACTGCGGTACTGGCTGCCAGCCGCTCTTCGGCGTCTGCGGTGTCGCCGGCCCCGTTGCCTCCGGCGGTGATGCCACCTCCAGCGCCCCCGCTGCTACCCAGACCGCTGCCACCGGCGGCGTCAGCCCCGACAGCTCCTGCGGTGGCTCCAACGGCTACACTTGCCCTGACAGTACCTGCTGCTCTGAGTACGGCTTCTGCGGAACCACCACTGCTCACTGCGGCACCGGCTGCCAGCCCATCTTCGGCACCTGCTCTTAAGCTGGCTGTCTAGCTGAGGGTCGTGTGCGTGTGTATATGTAATAATGGTTGCATCACGTTGATGTGGTTATGGGACAAAATCTTTCCTTTATATATCCTAGAGCTGTGCATAGAGTCAATAAAGTGTGTATCTACTTCATCTTTGGATATAGCCAAACCTAGCCATCGAATAGCCCGCCCAATATAACGCTCTTCGGCTTCAGTAATCCAATTCTCATGACGCTGTGAACAATCAGCTGTCAAGCGATTAGTTGGGGGCCGAAACGGCCGATTGAAAGTGCTCAAGCAAGCTATGAGGGTGAAAAGATTTATGAGGCCGTCCGAGGAAAGTCATTGCGATTGCGCCACGTAACTAACGACCAGACTACGGATAAGAAGAGTTGGATTGATGAGCCGCCAAGAGACAATGACTTTCGCGAGACTGTTCAGAGACTCGTGAGAAAGTGGTGGGAGCGCACATGGCGGCAATCTCGACGACATGTTTGTCGCGGCGGTAGTTCCTGCAGGAACCCGAGCTGTGCATATCTCGGAGATCCGGGGTATCGACGGCGGGCTGATGCGATCAGCCCCATGCCTTGGCGGGATTTGGACTGGCTATATCTTCCGGGAATGCCCACCTATCATCCCTTCATGGGTCATAACCCGCTTATCGTCTATAATTGGGGTATCTCTGCATTGGGACGAAAGGTGCATTTTGCGGGGTCGGCCGACAGGAAAACAGCAGTGCGGAGGAAGGGAAGGTCATCGGTCGAAGATGTCACATCTAGGGATGTCGTCCATGGAATTCGTGCTTTTGTCCCCCGACGGCGGGTGACCGCGAGGAAGTCCACCAGTTGAAAGAAAGGCCGATATCGGTGGCGCGATATGTATTTCTCTAGTAATCCAATCTTCATGTTCACGGAGTTGCCTTTCATGCTCTTGGCTCACAACTAAGTGCTTCTGCACAAGGAAGGCATCGCCACACTTCTTGATCTAGCTTCGCAGATGTCGTCTCAATTGCCAGCGAGCGACACCCTCGTCGACTACCATCATGCCGAAGCCTCTTGAACAGAGTCCAGGCAACAGCACATGCTTCTCGACGATCGTCGTTATATCTTTATCTATCGATAGCTGTATAAGTTGTATCGACCGGATAGCACTATTCTCTGCTTGAGTCGTCTTCGACTACCCATCGATTCAACTTCGACTTCCAGTTGCCGCAATGCTCCCCAATCTTGGTCTCAGTTGGGCCGTGGTTTGGTTCACCCTACATGGCCTTTCCTCTACCGTCTTGGCTTCTCCGAACAACGTCCTCGAAGATAGAGCCGTTTACACTTGCACCGTTGAGGCCAACAATGACGGCTCCGATGATTCACCAGCTATCCTCGCAGCCTTCAAGGAATGCCGTAAGAATCGCCGGATTGTCTTCTCCAACACGACGTACAACGTTGGCAAGATGATGACCACGACTGATCTGGAGAATACCCAGATCGAGATTCATGGGACATTGGTGGTGAGATTAGACAACCTCGCTACTCCTATCATGAGCCATCTATAGGTACTGATCACTTCTACTTGACACGTAGTGGAGCAAAGACACCAACTACTGGCTTAGCAACCCCCAACCGACCGGTTTCCAAAACGGGTCTGCGGCGTGGTTCCTGGGCGGTAAGAATGTTACCGTTGACGGCTTTGGATACGGAACCTTGGACGGTAACGGACAGACATGGTCAGTATCCCGGTTCTCAACAAGATCCGCCCAACTCGTACTAACACCCTCGGTTAAGGTATGACCTAGTCAAAGGCCAGTCCAACTACCCCGATCGCCCTCATGCCCTAGCAATCTGGAAAGCGTCAGGCATGACAGTGAGAAACGTCCGCATGGTCCAGAGTCAGATGTGGACCATGGCAATCATGCACTCGCAGAACGTGCTATTCGACGGCGTATACATCAACAGCACTACCAACAACGGGTACCCTGCCAGGAATACGGACGGCGCAGACACCATTGACTCGGACCGCATCACGTTCCGCAATATGTACATCCGAAATGGCGACGATGCGATTGCGATCAAGGGCAACTCTACCAACATCCTCATTGAAGACTCTACCATGGATCACTCTTTGGGGATAGCCTTTGGCAGCCTTGGCCAGTATAAGAATGAATTTGAGCGCGTTGAGAACGTCACTGTGAGGCGTATCAAGGGCTTGGGGACTCGATATGGCGCATATGTGAAGACATGGACTGGAGATCAGGTTTCCTACCCCCCTAATGGAGGTGGAGGCGGTGTTGGATGTGAGTGAATCCTAGAGAGCCTAGAAAGCCCCCAAGCTTTCCCCTTGAACCGGAACAAGACTTGCTAATCTGATCCAAGACCTCAAGAAGGCGAGTAAGTCACCTTCTCATCATCACACGAGCCTTCCAAACGCATGTGTAGAAACACACTAATGGCATCTCTAGCCCTCTATGACTTTGACCTCACTGCGACACGAGAGGCACCTTTCCTCATTGGCCAATGTACCAGCTTCAGTGGCCAACAGGGAGACTGCGAAAGCAGCACGTTCAAGATTTCAGACATGACGATTCGCAACTGGTTCGGCGATGGCGCATCTAGTTACGTTGCGGATATGAACTGCAGCCAAGGTTCGGGCGGCTGTGAAGACATCACTATCGAGGACGTTGACTTGAAGAACACTACAACCGGGGCTGATGTTACCAAGTACCGGTGCCGAGATGTTGTCTCTGTACATGGCTTTGAATGTAGCTGAGCGCTGCGAAGAAATCTCAAAGACGATGACGATGCGGGGTGATGGCATCTTCCAACGCAACTGGCTACACTGTTGTCAACCTAAATAGTCTGACATGGACGCGATCTAAAGCTTGCTCCATATCTCTGACATCGGATCAACCGAAGAAAGATCATTTTCATCTGATAATAGTTGTAGATATTTCATAGGTTATTCATCAGGTAATGATCTGAATTCAATTGGAACTAATTCTGACTTTCTGACATGCTGGATCACGACGGGACTCCTATAATGCGAATCTTCGGACACGCTGAGATCACATTGGCGGAATGTCTTACACTATTTAACTTTCTCCTGGAGAAGCGAGTCCTTGAACTGTCTATTAGAATGTATAAGTTCCACTTCCCACCTCTGTAGTTCTTCCAGCTTTGCGCCCCACTGCTGGAATCGTGATCGTTGCGACAGTATTCGGAGGGATAGTGACTTGCAATCTAAAATTGCTAGACTCAAGCCACCACTCGGCCGAGACCAGGCCATACTGGGTGTACAGGGAGCAGGCGGCGTTAGTGAGCATACCTCCAGGAATGGGTGCGATGCTGATTCTTTTGTATCCCGGAGCTGCTGGCGAGATGCCGCCAATTGTCTTATGCATCCAGTCGGCAACACTGCCGTAGGCATAGTGATTAAAAGATGTCATGTCGCCAGGATTAATCTTGCCATCTGGGAGCATACTGTCCCATCTCTCCCATCTATCGCAGGGTCAGTCATGATGTTTTTGTGGAGTAGCAAAATGAAAGTCTTACGTAGTTGTGCCGCCCATTTTCACTTGATACAGCCAACCGGGAACTTCCTCTTGCTGTATCATGCCATAGAATGTATCTGTCGCGTTAACCGCAGAGAGACCGAGGCCAAGATAATGTGTTGCAGCGAAGCCGGTTCCGACTTTGTACTGATTTTGTTCGATAATTACCCGAAGACGTTGCGTGGCGTTTGCAACTTGCGCGTTCGGGATTAGGCCGAAGTATAGAGGCAGGATAAGTCCGGTTTGAGTTTCGCTCACCATAGTACCATCTGTGTTGATCCATGCTACCTGGAACTTCGTCTTGAGGTTACTGTATGCTGTATTATATCGGTCTGCGTCTGCTGTCTCCCCGAGCCATTCTGCCATCTGTGCAGCTAGACCAGTTCCGTGCACAAGGTAGGCGTCGGCAACCAGGAACTTGTTTGTCTGTGAGGCAGCTGGATCCCAGGGCGGAGCAAGAGGATCGAGCCAGTCACCGAATTGAAAGGTTGAACGATCCCAGAGCCCAGTGGAATCACGCCTAACACCGTTATCAAGCCAAAGTTTGACGCCTGTCCAGTGTTCGCGGAGAAGGTCTCGATCGCCAAAGGCTTGAAAGATATTGTATGGGTGAATGACAGCTACGTCACCCCAAATGGCTGTCGGTGGATATCCGTTGGCTGTCCACCCCTGAGGGACATGAGGTATGAGGACGGGAGGAATTCCTTAGCATGTTAGTTAGTTATTAATCAAACAAGCCAACCATTATGCCCTCTTACCTCCAGCATCAGCCTGCTCAGCGTTCACGTCCTTCATCCATCCTTTCCAGAAACCGGAGGTGTCGTAAAGGAAAACACTTGTCGGCCCGAATGCAGTGACATCTCCAGTCCACCCTAATCTCTCGTCTCTTTGTGGGCAATCTGTGGGAATGCTCATGAAGTTGCCCTTCATAGACCATAAGGCGTTTTCGTGCAGCCTATTGAGCTTATCATTGCTGCTCCTGAAGTATCCAGTTCTTGCTAGGTCGGTGTGAACTACCACGGCTGAGACGCTGTTGCTATCGAGCGGCGTTTCCTGAGGCCATCCTTCAACCTGGACGTACCGGAATCCATGATATGTGAACTTGGGCTCCCATGTCAGCTCGCCCTCGCCGTTCAAAGTGATGTAGTCTGTCTGGAGAGCGCCTCGGAGAGGACGCGTCCCAATTTCGCCGTTTTCGAGGACCTCTGCGTGCGTGAGCTTGATCGTTGTCCCACTCGGCCCATCGACTTTAATCTTCAGCCACCCAACGAGATTCTGTCCAAAGTCGAGCAAGGTAGTGCCCTTGGGGCTGGAGGTGACGCTCTTCAGAGTGACTTCTTCGATGCGACGTATTCCAGGACCGTCAGCATGAACTAGATGGCTTGGGCCAAGGGTTGGCCGGACACCTTTCCAAGCACTTTGGTTCTCGAAGCCGGGTGACGACCACCCCTTCTGCACGAGACGCGAGTCAAAGGATTCACCGACATAGATTGAGGAGGAATAAGTGGGAGCTTCGGTAGACATCCAAGTCTCGTCGGTGCCGATGTACTGGATCGTTCCGTTCTTGAAGCTGATCTTGAGTAAAGACTTCAGTCCGAGATCCTCACCGTAGACATTGTTGATTCCGCCGCCCCATGTGAGTCGGCCCG